TAAAAACATAAATAAATAAACACACACCAATTAGCCTAGCCCCAAAGTAAGCACTGTAAGGATTGTGTTATGGGATACTAGGATACATATACAGTACATATACAAGTATATTTATATAGAAATACATATTTAACATCCATGACTGGAGTACAAATGCTCGTATTCATCAAACAAACATCTGCCCCCACCGGGATTCGAACCCGGACCTCTCGAGTCGGCGACATCATGAAACCCGGCGTACCAACCGTCACGGAGGTCGTCAAATAGCGTATATTTTAAAGATTCCGCTAATTTTTCAGTTGCGCAGACGGTTGTAACACAAAATCACATCAATTTTATTTCACTATATCCACTATGAATGAATTTAAGAATAATTAAAATAAGAAGCCAATCGCACTCGATTAAATCTCGCCAAAAACTCGTATATTTTTGATGTTTTAACTTTAAAATGTATTAAATTAGCGTAACTTTTTACAGAGTAGTCCGATTTTCATAATTATTTTTTGACGTGACAACGTCTTATAATTCGATGAAGCCGGCTGCACGCACGAAAAAACATGACTCATGCGGCGTTACCTCGCTCTGAGGCGTTCCATTTAAGGCTTGAAATGCAAGCGAGAGCGCGCAACGAGCGACAAAGATGCACAATCGGCCTCCACGTTCGGCAGCGTTCGACATCTGTCTCTCTCCTACTTGAGTGAGCGATGCGTCCGCGTGGACAGCTGCTATACAAGAATACATTTACATGTTTTCGTCAAGTATGAAGTGCAGTAAAAAGTGAATGTGGTGTCAATTGTTTATAGCAACGATAATTGCGGCGATAAAGGTAATGATTCTTTCGATATTAAATATATGTTCAGTGATATATTGTCGAATATTCGTGCTTTCATCATTAAAATAAAAAGCCTCGGTCCGCTAGTGTAGCGATTGTAGGTTATGCTTTAATTGACAAGACTATAACAATAAGTTAACAAAACTATTTCACGATGAGTAAAAAATCAATTGCTTTACTATTCGATCGATTTCACTTTTTCAAGACACATTACACTCGAAACACTCCATTTCATTTCCTACTTTTCCTATCATCGTCCTATTCTCAACAGAATAACATAAATTCTAAGACGTTAATTATCACACATTTTTAAAAGTTGTAAAACACAAAAAAAAAATCAAATATTTTAGGGGTTTCTTTTGAGAGTCCCCTACATTTGAAGTGGGTGTGATATTTTTTTCATCGTCTACCCCATCGTGTGGGTTATCGTTAAATAGGTCCTTCAAAACGACTTAGGGTTTGCTAAGATTATTTTTCGATTAGGTATCCGTTCGTGAAATGTTAAACCTTAAAGTAGGTCCCCCGGCTCCTATAAAAGCTAAACTATTGGCTTGTAGAATCTGAAAAAACTATTAGAATAGTGCTTTTTATGAAGTTTCTAAGAAAATTATGACGCTTAAAACAGATCAGTTAGTTTATGAGTAATAGTCATTATAGTAATATAATGTTACCACGTATGTTATATGTATAGTTATCACGGAATAACTGATTCTGAGTTACTCCGAGATCATGGCGCTTGCAACAGTGCCGAAATATCGGAAACTCGCTAAAACAAGGTACATGGTAACAATCCCGTAAATAACTTATATTACTATAATGTTAGTGACCATGAAAGTTTAAAACAATAAGAGTAATAGTCATTCAATTATTGGTATTAGAAAATTTCTTAACTTATAAAAAATCCTTAGAAGAACACATTAAAAGTAACTTAGATGAAGTTATTGCTTGATTATATCGCGTAAAACCTTGAATTGAAAAAAAAGTATTAAAAGATTATTATAAAACAATAAAATATGAAGGAACCTTACACTGAGCATGGCACGACACGCACTTGGCCGATTATATTCATAGGGTGTACCTCGAAGTAGGTCCTAGATAAGTTTGGAAACAAAGTTCGGGAAATAGGGGTGATTGTTCACACACAGATTTTAATGCCGAGCTGTATATTATTAAAATTATCTATAATTTTAATAATGTACAACAAAAAAATATACCACTGCAAAGAAAATTTTTATTATTTAAACTTTTTTATCTTAAATCTAATTCATATTTGGAGTCGGTGCCATGCATGTCTGATAGATCCGAGTTCACATTTCTTCTTGAGTTAACATGGCACCGACTCCAAATATCAATTTGACTAAAGATTAAAAAGGTTTATTTTTTTTTTTTGCTTTTCAGCGGTATATTTTTTTAGTTTAAAAGTTTTTATTTACCTAAACGATAACATTTTGTTGATTGACTAAAACCTATGCTACGCTAGCGGAGCCGCAGTTAAATCTAGTTACATATTATAGCTAGCTATTTACAAAATAAAAAAATACTTTACCTATTTATGAACTTCAAAGTTAAGTGCTATTGATACTATAACTAGGGCAGTTGAACAAAAACGTGCGTTCTAATTTCCAAGTCTCATAAAACAAAAATACAAAAAACAGACGCGCGATGTAATTAATTCGTTCCGCCACATAATTCAATTTTTGTTTATTTATAGTCTTTACAAATATGCCTAATTAAAATAATATGTTTTTTTAAATTTCAGGAAACGATTAACAACTTCTTTTTTTAATTATATTCAATTAGGCAAATCGCAGAAACATTTCTGATTGGTATGCGGAATGCAATTAGAATTTACATTACCGGTAAAACTAAAAATACATGAACTTCGTTTTTAGGCCAGGGCTGATAGATTTTGAGAACAAAATAAATCTAAATTAAGAAAAACGCTTAATAATATAGAGGAAGAATAATGTACGGGCGATTTGAGGTTGGAAAGTCTTGGGAAACCTTTGAAGGGGGGAAAGCGGTTTACCGTTTTTTGGTCTATGCTAATAACAGCAACAGGTAGATGCTTGAAATATTCATAAAATAATATGAAGTTGTATGTATATTCACTTTAAAAATAAAATAAGGGCATATTTCCATACAATAGACGTGATTTTTTTGACGTTTTTGCTCGATATTATAATGTATATGTTGTTTCGATAATGAAATAGAACCCTTCGTGCGCAAGTCACATTCAGACTTGTCCGTTTTTTCTATTACTTTATAGAAGGCTCAGCAGAAAATTTGAAATTTTAAGAAAACTTAACAAACCCGATAGGTGGCGCTTCAGGCGAGTTTTAGGATAATTTGTATACATATTTATATTGCGTAGAACTACGTGTGACGGCTCCGCTAGTAATTAATAATAATACATTAAATGTTCAGGACAAAGGGAAACCTAAATCTACTCATCACATGGCATGCATGGGAACAAAAATAACGATATCCTATAAATTAAATTAAAATATGCGAGCTAAGACAATTATAAATATTAACGTAGCTTCATATGTGACATCTGAGGTCGTGGCTTGATAGACAATGCATAGGGCTGGGTGAGGCGCTGCTGTCGTGGCGCCGCCGCCGGCGGCGGCATCTCTTTGACTAGGGTTATATAATAGTTCAAGGTTTACGCTTTATGTTTCTAACGGCGATATTTGAATTTTAATGTGGTTTTTAATGCGACACTTATAATATGGATGTTATTAATATCTAGTTTAAATGATAATTATTTAATTTATGATTATTGATTCATTTTTATAATTATACTAGCTGTCCCAGCGAACTTCGTACCGCTATAAAAAATAGGGGTTGATGGTAGAAGGGTGAAAATTTAGGGTTGAATGTATCTTTGTATGATGAATCATAAAAAAATTAAAACAAAAAAAAGTTTACAATTACATTCCTTTTTTAGAAGCTTAATCTTTGGAATTTTGTGAAGAATGCTTCATTCTTTTAAGTATCACCTCGGCTTGGTGTGGTCTTCTCTTAATACAAGAGGTAAAATTTTCATAATTTTTTGACATAATGGAGGTGCCATTTTATCTTGTTGATGACCCTTCTTATCTTTATCTTTAGGGTTTCGGCAGTTCTTGGATTGTTCACATACACCTGTGATGTTACATAAACCCTAAAAAATCAAGGGGCATTAAATCGCACGATCTTCGAGACCATGCTTTATCCAGTTGAGAAATTCAACGAGTGCCGATCTGAATCTTGAGATCGGCACTCGTTGAATTTCTCTTTAAATAAATTGACTGTTTCTCCGGCAATATGATAGGTTCGCTACCCTGCTGTAAGCCAAATGTCCTTCAGCTCCATTTCTTTCAATTACGGACAAATAAAACCGAATTATGAACCAGTATGATCACCTCCGACCACGTTCTCGAAAAATACGGACCACTTAAGCCCCTAGCCCAAAAGGCATAAAGGCAAAAATAGGCATCAGATAGTTATTCTATCAGAATGCAACGGTCTTATATGTTTTTTTAAGAATTTTGAAGCCCAAACCAGCAGTTTATAATTATTTCACTATTTGACGAATAATGTTTTCCATAAGACGGCCACGTTGGCTACAAGTTTCGTGCACGAAACTTTTGATAAATCGAACTACCGTTTTAAAAATATTATTTAATTATTTCAACGCGCAGCTGTACTGTATAGCGACTGATATAAATAAATGCCAAACTTTTAATAATATAAATAAATATCAAAAAGTTGTGCCAATAGATAGACGATCCAATATGTCCACTATCGGCTGTCTTGTTCCTATTGAAAAAATCCTGTAATAAATACTTTTTAATGAGTAACGATACGTTTATGATCCTTTTCGGCTTTCCCTGTTTACAGGAAATAAGTATGGCACAGTTTTATCATCATCAACCCCTACTCGTCCACTGCTGGACATAGGTCTCCCCCAATGCACGCTACTGCTCCCGATTTTCCGTCACTCTCATCCAGCCCACTCCAGCCAGCCTACGAATGTCATCGTCCCATCTTGTCTCAGGCCGTCCTACACTACGATTAGCGAGTCGTGGTCTCCACTCAAGAACTTTCCGGCTCCAACAGCACAGTTTAGGTTCATCAAAAAAGTAAACGTGTGCTGATCAAACCTTCTTGTTGTCCGCAGCAAATGCGAGCCCAAGGCTCCCGGTAAAGCTGACTGGGTGTGCGAGGAGGACCCTTGCATGATGAGCACCGAAGTCATTGACAACGTCAACCGAGGAGGATACCGGTGGAGGGCGGCCAACTACACGCAGTTCTATGGGAGGAAACTGAAGCAGGCAATGGTATATAAACTTGGTAAGTGCGCAATAACAGCTATACATTATAAATTGGTAGGAAAGTCAAAACTGTACATTGAATATTTTTGAAGTTATACTTCTTTAGGCGCGTTATGAAAAAATTATGAGTGAAATTTTAAGATGCGCGCGCATCACTGTAACACAAAAAAATTAAATTTGTGGGTGCTAACGACTGCATTGTGAAGGCCTATCAAAAGTATTTATTAATCTGGAACAACGGAACCAAAGCGCGATTCAGGAGACTACAGCGCCATCTCCTGACCATTGGTGTAGTAGAACCAAAAACCACATCTTTATTTTTTGTAATAAAGTAACAGTTATAGTTATTCATATTTATAATATTTATCCACATGTTTCTATTTTGTATATTCGGAATACGTGTTTGTGTTTCATACAAGTGCAAATCACATATGTTCTAATAAATTATATTCAGTAGCGATTTTAATTGAATATTTTGATTATTTATTTATTTTTTCAAATTAAAACTGAACTTTATTGACTGTGTCCTTTTCCAGACTTTTTATTAATTTATTGTAATTAATTATTTGCATGCAATTAAAAACTAATTTTAAACGATGCCAAAGAAGGATAACTTCTCACGCGCCTACATAAGTACCCATTTTTTTTAAAGAATACTTGGGGTCTGATCTACAATCGATACCGAATTTTAGAATTTTTGTCTGTTTGTATGTCCGGGATAAACTCAAAAAGTATTCCATGGATTTACTTCAAAGGACATTGTTCTACGCCCATACATAGTTAACCTAAGAACCAACAATCATGAAATATTATTTTCTAGGTTCGAAATCGCAAGTAAATGACTGCAAAAACAAAGATTATTGACGGACACTTCTGAAAACTTAAATTATTAGGAAAACTATTTTTTTTTTGAGGTTATGTTTAATATTCAATGAAACATAGGTCAACCTATGAACTTAGTATGAAGTGAATTAATATTACAACTAATTCATTTTATTCAGTGCGATTTTAAAGAATAACTATTAGGAAAAACTTGGTTAGGTAGGAATCATGAATAAAATAAAAACTGTAGTTTTGCTTCTTATTTATTGACTATTTTTCACATAATTGTATCATATTGTATATTATATTTATTTCTATATGACATGTATATTGTGTAAATATGCATCGTGAATGTGTATCAGGTGCTCTTGAATAATTTGGCAGTATGATCCTCTCAGGATATTGTGGCACAGGTTCACTAGCACTTGGTAATAAGGTCTCTGCTCTTTGGTTACATCGATGGCATATTAGATAGCCGAAATAGTTAAATTAAAGGAAAAACAATCGCAAATAAACACACACAACAGGTAATCCGAAACGAGAATGCACTTTCCGGCATAATTATTCTACTCTTTGGAATGCACGAATGCCACAGATTACTATGAATGCAAACTGCCTGCACCACAACCACAGAGTATCGAGTTTTTCACTACAGAACAGTTTGCCCTTGTCTAGCTTAATAAGGAATGAAAAGAACAGACTCATGTCATGTTTTAAAATAGCAAATACGAATAGCCAAGTGAAGTGCCGGCATTAGGAAGAAAGAGTGTTTTGTTTGCAGCGCTGTCATAGATTATACACATAAAATGGTATTTATTGTCTCAGATTATTTTTTAACTTTTTAATTTAGCTTACTTAACTGGAAGTGTCCGTCACAATCTAAATACTGATAATTATCGCAAAAAATATACTAAGAATTATCATAAATGCCAAATGCTGTTGGTTCTTAGGCCAATTTTAACATTGTCCTTTGGCACGAATATTATTAAAAGTCGGGTCAACATATAGGCTACATATTATCACGCTATCACCTACGGGGAACGAGCAGTGAACCTTTATTTTTAACTAACTCCACGCGTATAAAGTCGCGGGCGGCCGCTAGTAATAAAAAAAACTATAGTAAGAATCATCAGAATCGGCCCACGCGTTTTGTCTCTGGAGTGCCACAAAGTTACATATGTATGTAAGAATACATCATCATCGTTATCAGCGGTCGGGTAAAAAATACGACTGTCCTGCCAAAAACGGACTAAGAAGTTTTTAAAGCATCATCAGCATCAACTCTGCTTCTTGAATATGTCGCAGAGTGAAAAAGAAAATTAAAATTACTATTTGAAATAACAAAATAAATAAATATATATATATAGGTAATCATTCTGTATAGTAATACTTTTTTTACCCGACTGCGAAAGAAGTAGTGTCATATTATATTATATATCATATCTTAGAAATTCATCAAAAATGTGATCATCAGTGATCACATTTTTGTATTTGGTTTTACCGCATATCTAAAGTTTTGTAATTGCAAAAATCCCATACCATATTAATACAGATACTGAAACCATAGGTAGAAAGAAATCTTTTCCATTTTATCTAGTTTGCGATGCTTTCAAAATTTACTGAACGGATTTTCATACGGTTTTCACGGAAGGTTTAAAATTGACACACGCTCAAGAGCAAAACTTACAGTCTAGGGTCAAGTGGGGGGCAGTGCAATAAGGAACAGAGGCACAGTGTCACATAAGGAATATCTCTGTTCTTTTTTTAATAGTGTACCTGTAGACTGTCTTGACACGTTTTATTATTTTTATATGTCGCCATCGTAAGCAACTCTAATCAGTACCCCAAGCACGAACCATTATCGGATTCGAATAGTTTGCGAGTGCGAAATGTCGATGTCAAATTTTATATGGAAACTTGAATAGCAGCACCACAAAGTACGTAACGAGAACTAAAAATCAGTACACAGTTGACAATGACATTTTGGATTCGCAAACTATTCGAATTCGATAATGGTTCGTGCTAAGGATACAGATGTCAAATGGTCGGGTATAATATTCCTGTTGTTGTTTTGTCCTTTTGTTTGTCCTAATCCCTTTTGTTACAATGTGTCCATCTGATACACTGTACCCTTTTTGACCCTATAGCAATAAAGCGAAGGCGGGCATCAGCCTTTTATAAGATTCTAGGTAAGGGGTTGTCCATTAATCACGGGGGAGGGGTTCATAAAAAATCACGTGCATTTTCGTGGTCCGAGGATACAGTAATTCCTGATTAATTTCTGTAATTAATGTTCATTAAATAATGTTCATGTATTAGTACAAAAAAGGTTTCGCATTTCATTCATTATTTTTATGTCAGTCAAAAACAACCTGCAACTTTTCTGTCTACCTCTCAGCGTTATTATTATAGTCTTTAATTTTCTATAATAAAATTAGATGATACTTATACATGCATTTATAAATATTAAAAAAAATAAAGATTCTTTGTCAGTACTAAAAAATACACGTGATAAAGGGGCCAGGGGGAGGGTTTAGTTTTAAACGTCACCATGTATCGCCAAAGGGGGAGAATGGGGTTCAAAAATGCAAAAAAAACGTGATTAATGGACGGCCCCTAATTACGTAGTCTTGTCTTAAAAACAGTAAAGTAGCATTTGACGTAAGTAATCTGACGCAATCACAAAAGCGCTCAGGTATTTCAATCCATGCCAGGTGTGGTTTTACTCAATAAAATCCGCAAGCAAATGATCCCATTTAAACGAATGACATTCGTGAGTCGTGACATGTAATGACAAACATTTCGCAAACAACAATAGGGCTGAGTACCTCCTAAATCCCTACACAATAAAGGTCAAATTTGCTAGACCTCCATTTCCTTACCTCAAAGGTAAGTATGAACTTAAGTTATCAGATGATGGAATTTGCATACAACCAGTTGTAAACACACCTTATAAAATGAAATGTGCTAAGCAGTGAATGTCAGGTGATAAATAATACATACATTAAGTAAATAAAATAATAATATAAAGCTATATGACGACCTCCTTGGCCGAGTGGATTGTACGCCGGGTTTCATGGTGTCGCCGACTCGAGAGGTCCCGGTTCGAATCCCGGTGGGGGCTAGGCTAATTGGTGCGAGTGTTAGTAATATTTATTTTATTTATTTATTTTTATATCTTATTTTTACATTCAGTTACGATCATTCCCAGTAGTACACCAAGTGGATTGCCGGGTGCCTATTGTAAATTTACCGGGAACCATAATCAGAAATTACTAACTCGAGTTAAGCTTTTAAAGGCAGTATTATAATAATGGGAAATTACGAAATTTCCAAAAAAATGGTAACATTCTCATTTTTGTATGTAGGTACTGATTTAGGTATTTTTAAAATCCCAGCTGTAATATAGTTGATTAATTCAACTTTCTAGCTATGTTAGGGGCTGTCCATTAATCACGTGAGACTCGAAAGGGGGTTAGGGGTCCATAAAAATCACGAAATATCACAACGGGGGATGGCGGGTGTAGTAATATATCACGTGTATTTCCGTGGTCCGAGGATACTGTACATTAAATAATATTCATGTTTTAGTACAAAAAAGCTTTTCGCATTTCTTACATAATTAGGGTTCCGTACCTCAAAAGGAAAAACACGGAACCCTTAAGGGTAATAAGGTTTGTTGTCCGTCCGTCCGTGTGTCAAGACCGTTTTTCCCAGGAACGCGTGGAGGTATCAAACTGGAATTCATATCTAATATAGTGTACTGTCCCTTGGAGCTTTGAAAAAATCAAACTTCTAAGCCACAGCAATCAAAATATACAGCCGTTTATGCCACAAATTTCCGCAAATTTTCGAAACTCGCACGGGAATCAAAACATACAGGGTACTTCCCGTGAACTTAGAATCTTGAAATTTGTATGAAGTAACGTCTTATAGTACAGACAAAGGAAAAACTGCAAAAACCGTTAATTTTTAGTTACATCAAATAAAAAAATATTTTTGTAAATTCAGGTTTGTACGAAACCCTCGGTGCGCGAGTCCGACCCGCACTTTGCCGGTTTTTTTTTAATTCAGGGGATGTGTTAATATAATACCTACTCATTCTATTTTTTTGAGTTATAAGAAACCTAATGCCGCGGTAGCATAATGGTCAGTGCATTCGCCTGGATAGCGAAGGGTGCGGGTTCGAGTCCCGTCTGCTGCCTGCACCGCGTGGAATTTTTTCTAGTAAACTTTTCTTTAAATTTAAACATGTAGCAGTTAAATACTTAAAAAATAAAAACATAACTATACCTATTCTTATCATTTGTGAGACTAGCTTTCGCTGGTGAAAAGCTAACAAAGGAGTATGTGATTTTATAAACGACAAATCGATACTAAACTGTATCGTAATAATACCAAAAAATACCGTTAAAAGATTAACCGGATTACCATATCGGTCATTGAATCCGAACGCAAAATTCTAATAATGTGTCATAATTATTATCGTTTTCAACATTACATGTATATCTATGTAGGTATTGACTTATTTATATATAAACGCGATAAACTTTATTTAATTCACAAAACCTTATCAATTGTAGGTATTTGTTTAATAACTGCAAGATGTATCAATATAGTGTCAGTAGAAGTATATTTGCTTATAAGCAAACCATGATAAGCATTGGCAATGTTTTATCTTTTGTTTGCAAACTTGCAAATTAGATACCAAAAACTATCAGTGACTACTTATTTCCAAGGACTCTGTCTGTTTTCCCCATGCCTCTATCTTTGCTACAAAGCGTGCCAAACACTTAAACAAAACACGGGAAGGAGTTGGAATGCAACTGATAGATTTGATGTTATCGTAAGCTTACGCTTAGATTAAAACAAAGATCGTAAGGGATCTCTTTAAGATAGTTCTCCAGTAGTTCCCCATCAAACACAAATGTTTTGAGTAACCCCTAAGTATATGGTTTTAGACAACACTGACCCCAAACCAAAAATATTTTACCATACCTTAGGCGCGGAAAAGATAGATAAGTACGGGCAACGACATAAGTATGTCTATTCCGCGTCCTTTACATACAAAACGTATAGAAGAGTCGCCGTCGCATCGCAATACATATAGAAAAGACAGGGCGCGGACACGACGCTTCTAAATTTTGTATGAAATGGACAATGTCCGCCCTAAAGATCTCTTTATGACCCCCTAATCGTACAGTTATATTTTTCATTAGTATGTAAGTAAATTATTAATTAATATTTCTATAGCTCTGTGGGTTGTTAGGTAGATAATTAGTAGATTATGCTCTAAGGGGATAAAGCAGTGTATTATGTCACGGGCAGCATATTGAATTCTGAGCGAAATGAAAAGAATGTACTAAGAGTATATAAAATACAAAAAAATAGGTAGGATGGGCTCGTTGCGGATTTCTCGATGACTGCATCAATGTCGGCCTTACCGGAACACATAACGCTCAAGATAGCAAATTTTTGTTCACTTATCTTACTGACTTATCTGGTGACCTGTCAATGCGCAAGTTGTGCTAGTAAGTGTCGCCGCACACGGACCACCGACCACAACCACAAAACGCCGCTACCGGCATATTTCTTGTAGTTTTCATACATTTTATATACGCCATACGCCCGCGCCGGTGACCGCCACACGCTACAAATCGCCGTTGCTCGCTTCATGTGGCCCGCACCGGTCACTTAATGCGCCGATACAAAACGCCTCAACACGTCACTGGCGCGATTCCCCACCCCTCCATCCCTTACCTTAGTCGGCCGCTGTCGCGCGCTTCAGCCACTTTAGTAGCCGCTTCTAGCTTCTCGTGGCGGCGTTTGTGGCTGTGGCGTGTGGCCCGTGTGCGGCGACACTTATTAGGCTCGCATTTGAACCGAATGAGTAAAGAAACGTACAGAGGCCCATGACTCGAGTTTTTAACAGCGCCGTAACGTATCGCATCGTCACAGTTTCTATGAAAACAAAGCAGCGCCCCTATTGGACGTAAGAATAAACTAGCCTTTTCCATACAGAATTTGGCGATAACAATACTTTACTTACGGAGCTGTCCAAAACTCGTGCTTGGGCCTCTGTACGCATTTGAACCCTTCACGTTTCGTAGAAAACGATGATACAACGTATGGTAAGTATGCTCGCCTAGAATAAATCTAATTCCTATCCTTCTTATCTATAAGATCATTGAAGTTTTTCTTTTATACAGGGTGGGCCAAGAATTCGTTAACATTTAAATGTAACTTACCGCGCAAACTATTGCTGCGCGGGGCGCTTGCGCGGGCGGGGACACTAGCTCGCTTCTTGGAAATTTAGTCGCAATGGATCGCTTCACGGGGCCGCAACGCGCTTACTGCGTGAAACAGTTTTATTTAAACAACTTTTCGCTCATTACTGTGAGACGCTTATTTCGCGTTGAATATGGTTTACACGACTTAAGACAGTGTCCAAATGCTCCTTTAATAAAGAAATGGGTGAAGAAGTTTGAAGAGACGGGATCTACACTAAATGTGAAACAAACCGGCGGCCCGCGGACTTCTCGGAGCGAAGAGAACGTGCAGCAAGTTTCTGCTTCTGTTCGACGTGATCCAAATTTATCTACACGCAAACGTTCGGCTGAATTAGGATTATCCCGCACATCATTACGCCGTATTTTGAAATTAGATTTGAAATTACATCTATATAAGATCCAGCTAGTGCAAGAACTAAACCCTAATGATTTAAATTTGCGTAAGTCATATGCCGAAATAATGTTAACTCGATTCAGTAATTTTCACAACATCTTATTCTCTGACGAAGCCCATTTCCACCTAAATGGACATGTAAATAAACAGAATTGCAGGTATTGGAGCAGCGAAAATCCTAAAGCTAAACATGAGAGGCCACTTCACTCTCCCAAGGTAACTGTATGGGCTGCAATTTCAGCAAAAGGAATCATCGGACCTTACTTTTTTGAAGATTCTCGAGGCCGTTCAGTTACTGTTAATTCTGCCGAATATGTGAAAATGTTACGGGAGTTCTTAGCACCGATGCTACTGGAATTTGCTGGCTATAATCGTAACACATGGTTTCAACAAGATGGAGCCACGTGTCACACATCGAACGAGTCCTTGCCGGTGGTCAAAGACATGTTTGCGGAAAAGCTGATATCCAGACGGGGTGACATCCCATGGCCACCCAGAAGTCCAGATCTATCACCAGCAGACTTCTTTTTATGGGGTTATTTAAAGAGTCGTGTCTACATTGATAAACCGAATACACTGCGTCAACTTAAAGAAAAAATCATCGAAGAGATGTCGGCGATCTCGCGGCCTCTTTGCAGAAGAGTATTCGAAAACTTTAGGACTCGCTTAGATGAGTGCAAAAACCGAAACGGTGGTCATTTAGACGAAATAATTTTTAAAAATTAAATTACAACTAATTAGCTTTCTCGTAAATAAACGATTTCTAAAATATGTTAAATGGTTTTTTTTATACGATTTTTTCAAATGTTAACTAATTCATGGCCCACCCTGTACAAGGCGAACCAAATCAATACAAGGAGGTGTAGCTGGATTGTACTCGCGAAAATGTGCTGCTCTAGTCATTCCTCGATCCCTCTTACTTTGTCAGCCTGAACATTAGAACATAAAAAGAGATTTCTGTGTTCTGTGGCTCTAACCCAATCCGTCAAATCACCTTACCCCTGCAGCCTTGAAACCGTACTCGCCGACAAAATCAAAACACCACCAATAAGTACTGATAATTATTATTAAGCATTATGGTCTTCTTTAAAATGGAGGAAAGTGAAATATCCATAAGTCATGTCCAGTTCTAAAACCTTCCTATAAGAACGAGAATGAGGGTTTAGTAATACCTTTTTTTCTTTTTCAGGTACTCTCCCTCTCTCCGCTGAGACACGGCGCATGGGTCCAATACGTCACAACAAGGATGTGTTCTACCCTATGAACTTCGACGCCCGGGATGCTTGGCCCGGCTACATCTCGCCTATTGTGGACCAGGAGTGGTGCGGTTCTGATTGGGCAGTCGCGATCGCTGGAGTTATGTCTGATAGGTAATTTTATCTCCTAAAAGTTAAAAGTCCTAGTTACGACTACTCGTGTGTCATTTTCATCATAGCTAGCCTGGAGATAGGCCTCTTCAATGATAAGACCCTGAACTAGGTCTTCAGCATTTTCAGCAGGCTCAATACTACTTATAAGCTTGTTCAATCAAAAAGTTGGGTGTTAGATTTTGTTTACACTTACAGATTGTGTTCCGAATTAGGAACCTACTGAAATTACACCTAACATCTGAACACAAGTATAATTAATGTGAAAAGGTTCGTCCATTCGCCAGAACAAAGGTAACCGACCTCGGAGAACCTGAGGGGATTTCCGCGAGACATGGAGTGGCCCTTGTTTTATTTTTAGAGCGCCCCTGTACGAATGCTTGGAGATGTTTGAAGTTGGCTCAGATTTCAGGACGCGGTCTCAAGTAAAGCGGTAAACAAAAAAGGATTTTTGAAGTGAAAACTTCTTTAGCGGCGTTGTAATTTTTTTTTGTATGAGTAAAAAATGTTAAACTCGCGTTAGGTTAAACACGTTGGCTAATAGCATCATGACACACAATAAAATTGGAAAGGTTGTTGACTTTCAATATATTGGACGAAACATAGTAATATTTTATTTTATCGTATTATAATAATAAATCTCTATCTAGGACGTCCACGTGGCAGCTTTATTGCGAAGAAAATGCATTTTTTTTACAATAGATGTCGCTAGGTGCGCTTAAATGTGATTCATGTAAGTTGATTTCATTATAATAGATGTCGCTAAGTGCGCTTATATATATTCAAGTTTTCACTTCTGCCGGCACTCCCGGAGTGCAACCCGTCGTTTTTTTGTATAATTATAGGTATTACTTACTACAAACACAGCTCCTATAAAATAATAAGGTCGGGATATTCTTACTGAATGATACACTCGGCGACCCTCACATACACTGATAACAAATTAACATTATTATAATTCAAATGTAGGTTCGAGCAAATTTCTCGGCCACACCAGATGTTAAGTGGCGTTAAGTTAAAGATAGCTGATGCAGGTGCTAGCAGCAGTTTTGCCTGCCACACTATAAAGACATCATATATATACATCCTATATATTTATACATTTATTCACTCTATACCAGCTTTCATTCTCACAGCTCAGGTACAGGCTCTCTTTAACCTTTGAGAAAACAAACAGATTGTGGCCTACTACTACTTAGTGTCGCCGCACACGGGCCACCGGTCACAACCACAAAACGCCGCCGCCGGCATATTTCCTGTAGTTTTCATACATTTTATATGGTCTCGCCAGTGGCTGCCACACGTTACGTAGCGACTAGCGTGTGTCAGAACAAAATAAAGACTTTTTAAGATTGTGTCCTAAAATTAAACACTAGACAGATTAAAGCGATCATTTCCAAATACCTAAAATCTACCAGGTGATAGACAAATTTTGTTATCTAATGTTAAAGTTAGCAGGCACATTATTTTATTCATGTTTCAGTAATGGAAGACACTTTCATTTCATTCGTTAAAAAGCCTTGATTGAATTTGTTAGTACCTACTTACATCACTGCTAGAAAACTGAAGGAAATTCGTAATAAATCTAGTATACTTTAATCTGGAATTCTATTCACACCACATGACGTGACAAGCGCGCAATATTCAGAAAGTAAGAACACCTAGCCAAAAAGAAAGGCCTGTTCTTATGTTGTAAAATACGTTATTTATAAACAGTCGAGTATTGAGATTGAATATAAAACAATTGCGTAACAATCCTATAACGTACTTTTGAATGCATAAATAGGCAAATGAGATAACTCGATTCCAAGATTGGACCTTTGAACAATAAAATATTTAGAGCTTTTCCTCTATTCTGTGTCTGGAGAGCGCTCGTGAGAAAAGCACTAACTTTAACCCTGTTATTACTTTAATTTTATCAGTGTCTTCAAACTATTTCACTGACTACCTACTGTCCGTAGAAATATTATACGCTTTAACGCTTGTGATATTTCGTGATTTTGACGTGACAACGTCTTAAATTAGGTTGCGGCTGGGAGTCACTTATGAAAAAGTGTAACGCTCGGTAACGTTACGATGAGTCTCTCGTGTTAAGTTTAAGTTTACATGTACAATGTTTTAGTAAACAAAATATATTTCTATAGTTAAAATTTGTGCAATTCTTATTTTCATTCAATTCCTTGTTCCTATTGTGCAATTTAATTATATTCATATCAATAAATATTCTACCGAGAAAAAGACGTTGTCACGTAAAATCTTCGCCCGTAAAACCGACTTTACAGGCAACCATTTATTTTCCAAATGACGTTTAACACAAAGATATACTTAAGCGTATTTTTTTTTTGCAAAAGTGAAACTTGAGAAACAAGAAATATGTAACAGAATTACAGATTAGTATTAGAATAAATCGAAGATATTATGTATATCCTACTATAGCTAATATGTACTATAGCTACTATGTGCGATACTCTACTTAAAATGTACTCTCCTTATTTCTAGAGAATACACTATTCAATTCGTAGCCACGGCTTTAGTAATAGGATCTTTTAATACACAAGCGCTTTCTATGTTACACGACTTGTAAATGATTATAAGGATTCGATTGGTATTCAAGTTCAAGTTTCGCTTAACCTCATTCGAAGTGTAGGTAATTGCCAATAAAGGTATGACCAGAGAATACAGAATTTACGACCAAGTAGACATTTACTTGGTTAAATCTTGATATGATATATCAACGGCCGAGCAAAAATTCTATTTTAAAAAATCGTTTAAAGAACTTTATGGCAAGTGTGTTATGCCAAATTTCGGAGCAACGAGAATCTGCGAGTTACAGGAAACCCAATCTTGATCAGTACTTAACTTCCGGTTAGAAAGGTGTCTCTTATTTACAAATGTACGAAATGGGTTCCCCGCTATATGGAATAATATTCTGATATTGTAGTTTGAAAATTCATTTGGCATAACACTTCTTAAAACGAATATTTTAAAGGCATGTTTTAAAGCCTTACAGTACCTATATAGTTTAATATTTTATGCATCGTCGTTCAGGGGACTTTTTGTACGCGTAGGTACTTTTACTTTTAATAGGCTGATGATGATGTTTCTAAATAACTACTTATTTTAGATTCGCTATCCAGTCTAACGGCGCTGAGAACCTGAGGATGAGCCCTCAGAGCTTGCTGTCCTGTAACAGGAGGAGTCAGCGGGGCTGCGACGGTGGCAACGTCGACGTTGCATGGAACTTCGCCAAGAGTCAAGGGTGAGTATAACGTATTATTATTGCTAGAGTTTAGTTATAATACTACTAAATGCCAAAAAGTTGATTTACTTCTATTTATAAATTCGTGTTTGATATCAGAATCACCGACCAGGTTGCAAATCGTCGTTATCCCAAGGCCTCTTCACCTGACTTCGTCCATAAACCTGTACCTAGGCCGTCGGCAAACATCGTGAAGACAAGCCATAGACAACTATGCCTACCTACAGCAATTTTACAAACAGAAACCTCAACAACGTTTTAGTTTTACTCAAAATGTTAGCGGCTACCATCCGCTACCTAAACATAACATTTCGCTGTCCGATCAATTCGCAAAAATATATGGATGAAGCATATTAAAAATAATATTTATTACTTTTGTTATCATTTATCCGAGGACCTCTCTTTGGAGTCGTGATTAACGCGTTCTTCCAGCAATTTTCTCAAAAACCCATCATTACAAGCTCACGGTGATAAGTAACCTGATCCATACTAAATTACAGATTAGTGGACGAAGACTGCTACCCGTACGAAGGGAAGGCGAGCCCATGCAGGCTGCGCAGTAAGGCCGGCCTCATCGAGAACGGATGTGTTCCACCGGCGTCTGTGCCTCAACGCACCTCCCGCTACAAGGTCGGACCGCCCGGCCGTTTACAGAAGGAATATGATATCATGTACGATATCATGCAATCGGGACCTGTTCATGGTAAGACCATTTTTTATGTCAGGCCCAGAAAATAACTCCACCTAACCCCCATCTGTGTATGATGTCTGTGATTCAACGCACCTCCCGCTACAAGGTCGGACCACCCGGCCGTTTGCAGAAGGAATATGATATCATGCAATCGGGACCTGTTCATGGTAAGACCATCTTTAAAGTCAGGCCCAGAAAATAATTCCACCTAACCCCCATCTGTGTATGATATCTGTGCCTCAACGCACCTCCCGTTACAATGTCGGCCCGCCCGGCCGTCTGCAGAAGGAATATGATACATGTACGATATCGTGCAATCGGGACCTGTTCATGGTAAGACCATCTTTAAAGTCAGGCCCAGAAAATAATTCCACCTAACCCCCATCTGTGTATGATATCTGTGCCTCAACGCACCTCCCATTACAAGGTCGGCCCGCCCGGCCGTCTGCAGAAGGAATATGAAACATGTACGATATCATGCAATTTGGACCTGATCATGGTAAGACCTTTTTTGTCAGACTCAGAAAAGAATCTGTGTATGATATCTGTGCTTCAACGCACCTCCCGTTACAAGGGCGGCCCACCCGGCCATCTGCAGAAGGAATATGATACCATGCAATTGCGACCTGTTCATGGTAAGACCTACTTTTATATAAAGACTACAAAATAACTTCCAAATCCCCATAGGTGTATGATGTCATGCAAACTCCATCCATATCTGTAGGTCAATTTCTCACTCCAAGTTCCAAGTTTAGACATTGATGTCGATTCTGGCAAGATTCTCTAAATTTAAAACTAAATTTAACATCAGTCTCCATTTCATTCTGTATAAAGAACGACAAGGATACACTGTTGTCAAATTTAAGTTTAGCTAAGTCTATAATCATGCTAGAATTGGGCCCGGTAGCCATCTAAACATTAATTAGTCGTAACGACGTAATTCAGCAAAATCTATCTCATGGATCTCTGTTGACCTTACAAATTTCAGAAAAATAACATGTAGTGTACCTAAATATAGTGCTAATTGGTTGGAATTCCTTTCTCAGTGAATTGTACGCCGGTAAGTACCCACCCCAGAGTACTCTTAAAGTTGACTTTCGTAACAACGTAACCACCATAGTCTTCCGTCCTACTTTAACTGACTTTCTGGTGTCATAGAGTAGGACACGACACGAACAAATTCTTGATACAATCAATGTTAATGTTGACATTAAGCGTACACCCTCTAGCTTCATTTAAAAAGAGCTGTAGCAAAAAACCGTATTTAAGGGTTATGTGTGGCAATGAACAGGTAATAAGGTGTACCCCTGGCCTTAGCCACCACTGGATTTCCCCGAAACTTTTATAAAATACTTCATAGATAAAACTACAGTAATATCTTTTCTCAATAACTTCATAAGGTTATTCGATTATCGGTCATCTCTTTGGTTATTATATCTACAATCTTATCAAGTAGGTACTTTATATATGTTTGGATAACACTGACACTGGAACGATTTAATGGCATTAAAACGTTCTTCTGCAATGGTACTTACTACACATATATTGCTACATTTAGGTCATATGAACGTTTATATAATACGAATTTAGCTCTTATTGCTTCGCATTAAATGTGCTAAACAAATTGGAACCACCAAGTGTTCTGGACCGTGCATCTCGTAGATTATCATCTCATGCCAATTAATATCCCCACTTCTGGAGCACAGGCCTATGGACAGCATTATGAATGGGAGAATGAGCAAATGGTGAGTACTAACAATCCCAGATACAGCCATGACCAACGGCTTAAATGTGTCAAACAAATTGTAACTAACAATGAGATCATGCAAAGGTAAATAAAACCTTTTGTGATGTCCCACTGTCTGTAGGTAGGTACAGTTACAGTCAGGTCATGAGAATGTACGCAATACGAATTCAGCTCTTATTGCTTCGCATTTTCGCATTACATTGGAATCACCAGTTCTTGTCCAGGCAAATGGTAGATCATCATCGTCATTACCCTCATTAGCCAATTAATGTCCCCAAGTGCTGAAGCCAGGGGCATAATACACTTCTGGCTGTAGCACAGGTAGATTGTATTGGCAGAATAGACTTAGACACACCATGGCGAAATGGTGGGTGCTAACAACTGCAATTGCAGCCGGGACCAACGGCTTAACCTGCCTTCCAAAGCACGGAGGAGCTCGAGATAATAAGTGTTTAGTCACTTGTCCATAAAAGTTGTTCAAATTCCACAATCGCAGGCCAAATGCGCTAACCGGCTGCGCCATCGAGTTCCTCGATTGTTGATACAACATAGCAATTTCCTTCAGCTTCTTACCTTGCCTCTCTATTCGCAGCTATCATGACGGTGTATCAGGACTTCTTCCACTACCGCGACGGCGTGTACCGCCGTTCCGGGTTCGGCAACAACCAACTGCAGGGATTGCACAGTGTCAGGATCATCGGATGGGGCGAAGAGCGCGGCGAGAAATATTGGGTAAGCCATAATTTCTAAGTCATTCTTATCAATCAGCGTATTAATGCTGGGGAAAAGGTCTTCCCGATGGAATAACGATGCAGGGATAGCAATTTATTTGTTTAACAGAATTTTCAATACATGTCGAAAGGAATAGGTAGTACTATGTATATTCAAACTCAACAAAAATTCAATTTCATGCTATATTTATTGTAGAATAATTCTTTATCAATCATTATACCATAAATCAAATGTGCTTTATAATCCTCTTTATAATACTAGTCTATAAATAATTCTGTATAAGGTGGATTTTAATGGTCAATTCATACTAGCGCAGAGTGGAAGAGTATCGAAGCAAAGACCCGGACGGTGGCTATGTCATTGCACTTTCTTCCTATTCCGTTCATGGAAGGCCTGTGCTCCAGGAGTATATTGAAAGAACAGCAATTGTGGCCGCTGCACAGGCAGTCCAATTCAAGCGGAAAATTTGCTATGCCGAACCTCTCTTATGCTCAATTCTGAGATGATAAACAGCGGAATTTGAGCATCTTCTTTTTTTATCAGAAGGAATATGTACATTACTTTGCGGAGATAATGGTGAATTTGCTCTGTTACGTTTTCGAAATTCGCTTCAATGCGCTTCGACTCTGCGCTAGTCTGAAATGAGCTTATGAGAGATGCGGCATAGCGGATTTTCCGCTTGAATTGGAGTGCCTGTGGCAGCGGCCACAATTGCTATGTTCTTTCAATATACTCCTGGGGCACAGGCCTTCCATGAATGGAATAGGAAGAAGGTGCAATGACTAAGCCACAACCAGGGTCAAGGTCAGATTAGCGGGTGGGTGCTAATGTCTGCAGATGCACCCAGAACCAACGACTTAACGTACATTCCAAAGCACGGGAGAGCTCGTGATTTTAAATATTTGGTCAACCATCCCATGATCGGCCATTACGAAACTGCGTAACTTCCACGATTGCGGACCGAACGCTATCGAGGTTTTCATAGTATCAATCGGTTTATTTATTTTATTTTTTATTTTATTTTATTAAGGATAACAAACAGTTGTACAATATATGTTAAGTGAAAGGTTTAGTTTAACATATGTCAACAAAATTCGTCAAACACTCAAAGGTTCTCTCGAACTCTTACATTCTTTTTGGTTCAACTTCAAGGTGCTCCTACTTTATTCTGTAATTAAACTATGTTATATTAATTATCTTGACTCTATGTGTATATGGAACGTGCAACTAATTCAGTGATTCTTCTTCCAGCTGGTAGCGAACAGTTGGGGCGCCTGGTGGGGTGAGAACGGTTACTTTAAAATAGCGAGGGGCGAAAACGAATCGGGCATCGAGTCCTTCGTGGTGACCATCCTGTGTGACGTCACCGAGTCCTACAGGAAGAAATAACAGAGGGAGCAACTCATCACTCCCCTGTGCACCCGGACGAAATACGTGAACACAAACAGGGGAGTCGTTCTTCTGAACGTCACGAGAGACTTTGGATAGTTCGTCATGACCAAAGCAAGGAGAACTTTGACGTCCTTCTGTTGAGGAAATTTTTCAATGATAGGTAGGGCGATCGCTGACCAGTTGGCAGCTCTGTAGATTTTGATTACTTAAGTATGTTTTTCTTTTGATTCTCTTTCTTTTATCGATCGAATCGAAAATGCGTTCTGTGTGCCTTAGTACGAGTTTGGATCAGTACCCTTAGCACGAACCAAAATCGAATTCGTAACGCTTGCAAACCGAAATGTCAATGTCAAATTTTGTATGAAAACTTGAACAGCAGCGGCACAAAGTACGTAAGGAGAACAAAAAATCAGTACAGATTTGACAATGACATTTCGGACTCGCAAACGTTACGAATTCGATTTTGGTTCGTGCTAAGGGTACAGATCGTGTCTATGCAGATTAAAAATTGAGTTTTTAGTAGTAGTAACTAGATGCCGCTGTTTGAAGCTCATAACAACGTATTGGCGACCGTGTAAGTAATCTAAGAAAGAATTTTTTTAAATATTATTCTGTTTTTATTAAACACACTTATACTAGAAATCTAATTATCCAGTTTTTATGAAGATAATATGTTGCAAACACCATTTAATGGTGGAAAATCTTTAAAAATATCTTACGATTTACATTAATTTAGATGCGATCTCCCACAGATTAGGTAGGTATAGTGAGAAATGAAACATTAATAAATAGATTGTTCTTATCAAGGGCAATAAACTATTAAATTGTTAAAAGCACATCACAAAATACACAACTATTTTTGTGGAAGAGTTTACTTATAAAAACTACCAATTGTTTCATACGGCCACGGTCTTAAATAATATAAAAAAAAATCATCTAAATGGTCTGTTTTACGCATTCCATACAAAACTTTTAATTTGATAGTTCAGGAATTTCATGACTGTTCATAATATGTTTATTTATTTTATATATATAAAATGAAACATTATGAACAAGATAATATGAAACGTTCAATCTTGCTATTTTAGTTACCATGACTGGTTTTTAAAGCTTTTCATTTCATTGACTAACTTTGAGAATCCGTTTATAGTCCCTTGATTCGACACTCTGTATGTATAATTTACCACCAATTTATTTTTCTACATACCGACAACTGTGTGTTTGTCTGTTCCTCGATTGTCGAGCAACAGTTAATTATAAAATTAAACTTAGGTAAGTTATTATTTTTTTTAATTAGAAACGCTTTTATTACGTTAAAACAGTGATTTATATTTTGTACAGTATTTAAAAAAAACTGTAATGTGAATCTTAACTGCCATGTAAAAATTTAGAATCTTATAAACATTTGCAATAAAACTGAAAAATATATTAAAAATATACTTTTGTTTTTAATAACTTGCCCTTCTTATTAACATGCCGCAGTTTTCCTTTTGAATATTTTTCAATATCGAAGACTTGCTAAAAACAAGGTAAATGGTCGCGGCTAGGGTTACCATCCGTCCGGATTAGTCCGGACTTTTTGCATTTTGTCCGGACTTCATCCGGCTTTTTAATTTGTCCGGATTTATTTAATTCGATGGAATATGAGTAAAACTACTTATTAAGTTATATCAAATAAGTCAAATAATCTTTATTTGACTTATTTGAATCTCAATAATTTAAAACAAAATATAAATCTTCTTGAAAAATCAACGAGAACCCCTTTATATATAATATATCGCGTATAATATCACTTTAACTAAGTGGGTGATGTTTGCATTTTCTGACTAAAATGTCCGGACTTTTATCGAAATGTCCGGCTTTTTGTCAGGACTTTTAATTTTTTTAAATAGTAACCTTAGTCGCGGCAAACATCTGGGGCAAACCCACAGACAAATAAACTTGCGCAGTAAACGTTTATCTATGTAAAATTGCTACTGCGCAGGCTTCCTTGTCTTTGGTCGTTGCTCAAGAAGTTTGTGTAGCAGAGCGTTTAATAACTTAAATTACTATAAGCTGTGTTTTTCAGTTATAATGCAATGGCAATACCTACTCTAATTATATAGCAGAAAACCGTAAAAAAACTTATTAATATTTAAATTAAACGATAAACAAAACACTAGTCTTAGGAAACACTAAACTACTACAGAGTTCAGAAGTTATGTGACACTTTATATCATTATCTCATTAATAATTTAGATAAATTATAAATTTATAACTAAGTATTACTTGTAACGAAATATTATATATTTTTGTAATGTACCTACTTAGTGACTTGGGCGCTTTTCAACGGCTAACAAACTTTTTAATGTAGCAAGATTATGTTCAAAAGGTGGTACAGCTAGCTAGAGATCAAGTTATCTAAAAGAACCTATATTTTGCCAAGTGAATTTCACTAACGTAGGAAACACAATCTATAGAGAAATTTTGTAGTTTGTGGAAAGTTGATATGTTCCTCTCTCTCTCTCTCTCTCTTATAACAGTTATATACCTAAAACGATTTCATTTTAACCATTCTAATGCAATGTGAATTGAGTAGACATTATGGTGTTCGTCATGCTATCGTACACCGCTTCCAGTTGGAGGTTGCTCGGCACTTATGCTAATAAAAAGTGCGTAAATAGTGCCTAATTATTGCAATAATAACAAAAATCTTTCTCTTTATTTTGGGAAATAATTACTGTTTTCATGGTATACGCTGACGTGACGACCAAAGTAGCGTACACCAGGCCATTCTCGAAAACGGTTTATTGTTATGCAACCAAATTTTCACAGAAAATTATGCTCTAATAGTGCTCACACTATGCAAAATTTCATAATCATTGTTCTTAAGGGAACAAAGATAAACTTGAACATCGAACTCGATGTGGTGTACGCTGGCATGACGGACACAACATTATGCCGGTTATTTGAATAAACCGCAAACCCATCTAACTAGATGGGTTTATGGCGTTTACTTTAAATTTAAATACAAAATTTTCTCAACCGATTATGAATATTACGAGAAATATATCAATAATTACAAAGCTCAGTCAGTTGGATAATTTGGTAGCTTTGGATAACTTGATCTAGGTAATTGTTTCTACATATTTTTAATATGTACATACTTCCTTTGTATACTATGGGGTATCTACATTAATAAGACCATTATATGTCGTTGTAAGATCGTCAAAATGTCACGATGGTATTTTTTGACAGTCATAAAGTAAGGGATGAACGTGTTAGAAATTATAAGGCAGTGTAGTATTAAAAAAAGTATATATTTTTTTACCAAATAAGCATGTCTGTAAGTCAAAGATCAACTAAATTATATTATTAAATATAAATGGTAACAATATATAAAAGTACAATTTTAGATAACAACCGACTATATTGTCTGCAGTAATATGCAAAGCACAAGTGTTAATTTAGATATAGAACAACAAGCGATTTTTGACTTTATAAACTTATAGTTTAAGACTTAATTTAAGGCAGTACTTATTTAAAACTTGTTCATTAGTACTTACAGTAATGTATATTGAAGCTAATAAATAAAAATACATGAAATTTAGTCTTATTATTAATAATAAAGTCTTTAAAATATAATCAATCACATATAAAGGCCGAAGCAGACATATCAACTCGGTAAAAACATCTATATAACATAATCAATACCCTATTGGACCTAGCAGCATCATCATCAGCATATTAATGTTCCCACTGCAGGGGCAAAGGCCTGCCCTATGGATGGAATAAGGAGATTGGGTCATGACCCACCACGCGGGCCCAGTGCGGATTGGTGGGTGCTAACGACTGCAGATGCAGCCGGGACCAACGGCTTAATCCGAAGCACGGAGGAGCTCGCGATAGTAAATTTTTGGTCACGAAAAGCGAAAGTTGCTTAACTTCAACGATCGCAGCCGAACGCGCTACCATTTGCGCCATCGAGCTCTTCGAGCCATCGAGTTCAGTATTTTGTATGAAACTCCCTGCTGCAACGCACACTCATCGGAACCGCAACGTAATCGGCTCGCCTCGGGATACGAGCTTATCATAGTTGTATGTCGAGTTGATATCCCTTTCCGAGACGATATGTTTGCTATGTCCTTTAGCCTCAATTTTATTGACATATTGGTTTAATACTTCTACATATACCAAGCACACTTTTCAACTTTAAAAGTAAGTATTAGAAAGCTTTTCGATAAAACTATTCTAATTTTAACATGTTACACTTCGATACTTGATCTAAAAACCAAGTAATCGTGACGAATCATAGTGTAGATATTTTCTGACTAAAATAAAAAAAAAAATTAAATATAATTTTACTATTGCATTTTTATAATCTCAATAAATTGAAAACTCATGACTATTTATTTATTAATAGAGTATAGTCCACTTGCAAAACACGCAATTTTTCTTAAATTTTGGCCTTTATTTATTTTAAATATCTTTGGTCCATACTTGTGTGCGGTAGTTATGTATGGCATGTAAGTTATTTAAAATTCAAAATAAACATAGCGTAGTGTTTGCAAATGTCGCTATGTTATAAGACCGTTCACTTTCAAAATTCTCTCTCCCTTATTAACGGAGAATAAGCTTGGATTAGTTATTCCATGTTTTATCTCTGTTCATTGAATGACAAATTGCACGTGAGTGATATGAACAAAACACTGCGCAACTAGTCTTAAGCTTATTCCTCGTTTATTACTAAGGGAGTAGAAGTTGGTATGCGTTTGTAAAGGTGGCTATGAAGCGACGCGACGCTTCCAACGCCGCCACCTTGGCTTTCCCTTATCTCCCCCCCTTCCCTCGCTACCGGCCCTTAAATCAACGGACCATCCTAATCACACCAATATTATAAAGGTGAAAGTTTATGAGTGTGTATGTTTGTTACTTCTTCACGTCTAAACGGCTGGAGCGATTTTAATAAAATTTGGTATGGAGTTATTTGACACCCTGGGTTAACACATAGGCTACGTTTTACTGCGGAAAAATATCCCTTATAAAACCGCGGGTAGCACCGCAGGGCACAGCTAGTAATATTATAAATGTGAAAGTTTGTATGTTTGCTACTCAATCACGCAAAAACTACTGAACCGATTTGGGTGACGCATTATTGTTTAAGACCTGGATTGAGAATTAGGCTACTTTCTATCCCGGAATAATTTAAGGTTCCTGTGGGATTCTCAAAAATCAAAGTTACCTCGGACGAAGTCGCGGGCAGCCGCTAGTAAGTAATCTTTACTTTAACCCAGAGAACACAAAAAGAGGTTAGAAGGGAGATGATAAACCGTGGGTATATTCCGAAATATAAACCAGTACGCTGGCCAGCGGTAATGACGTCATGATTTCGACGCCATTTTGCACTGGTGTAGTAGTAGTGTTGTCCATATGGCGTCGAAATCATGACGTCATTACCACTGGCCAGCGTAATGGTGTTTGATTCGGAATACACCCCGTTTGTACGGGAAACGATGTCCCCGGCTCGCCCCCACTGCACTTACATCTAATAGATAATAGCCAATCAAACAACGCGACATCAAACAATAGAACCAATCAGCGCTCACACCCGAGAGCAACGACGCAATCAGAACCAAGTTTTGGAGAAGTTCTAAGCATTTGCTCACACATAACAGTGGTGCTCCTGCCCCGCCCACAAGGCCCTTCTAACCTCTTTCTGTGTTCTGAGATTTTACCGCACTCTATGCAATCCTGCCTTCATTAGTCCAAATGTTTCAAGCGCAGACACAATACCAATGCATTCGTTTCCTGATCCTGACATTCATCCTGATAGTTTCCGGCTTAACTATACACTGTTGGAGGACAGATGTTACTCATGGACGATAATTATCTTTTCAAACAAAGAAGAGTTTGCCACAAACATTTAGAGACTGATTCGCAATAATTTGCTCTCAAAAAAATGTTGGGTGCCCAATTAATGGTAAACTTAAAAAGAGGGAGCACATATCATCATCATCAGCCTATAAGCATGTCATAACGTTACATGATAAAAACTCATGATATAAAGGAATCCAATTAATTAAAAACTTCTGAAAAACAATGTTTATTCTGAAAATTTTAAAAATAAAAATAAATAGCTATTATATCACAAACATTTCATTGTTGACCTTTAAATTTTAAGCAAACTTTATGCCACTGTTTTTTTCAATTTGATACTTTTTGAATTTGTATTCAACAATACAATATTGATTTGCCGAAAAAGTTATTCTCACAATAATATAAATAAATTATATTTATAGAGTCATTATACTGAAAGTCAAACAAAAATTTTTTATACCACTTTTACAGGCATATAAGTTTTACTCAATTGCATTGCTAATAAACTATATAAGTTATAAAATTACACAGTGTTGTGAATGTCATTACTAACTTGTTGATGTTCTACTAGGACTCGGACTTGCCACTCTATTTTTTGCTGATTTTTCTATGTTCGCTGCTCTTGTCTGAAAAGGTTATTATAAAATGTTAAAATAAACAAAAATAGTAATGAAGAGCTTACTACCTAACAGTCATAAACTCTTTATAAACTCATGTCAAAAAAAGTGGTGACAATAAAATAAATCAATTAAATTATTAAAATTTACCTGTAAAGACTGCACTCTCTTATGTAAGCTCATCATTGTGTTAGAAATTGATGCAAGCTTCTCTTTATTTGTGGCAATATCAGCTAACTGAAATTAAACAAACACCTGTGTAGTTTATTTTTATTTTTGAACATTTAACTGCTACATATTTTCTAGTAAAATTTTCTTTAGATCCTGTGTAGTTTTGATATCATTAGAAAAAAAAATTGAAAACTAAGTCTGTATGCTAGATTTTTTTTTATTTAATTGTAACAAACATAATGGCCTCATTGTTTCATCTATAGTTAAGGAGATTGCTCAAATTGGCCTAAATGCCCAAAAAATATTGACATATACGGTAATTCTTGGCGTAATTTCTAATTTATTTTACAGTCATTAGATTTTAACGGACACCTTTGTATAATATGTTCATTTTAAAAAGGACTTTTAAATTTACCGGTTTGAAAAACATACGAATCATTTTTAATGGCTATGGGTGTAGTAACATTCAGCCAAAGACTGATCGAAGTTGTTTATATAACATAAAATCAAATTTTTTTTGTAAAGATCGATAAAATAAAACATTTTTTTTTTATTACACTGTGGTATTAATATCTACAACTATATTATCATTGTCACTACATGCAAATGTGCTAAGACAATTATTATAGATGGTAGGCGACATCATAAAGTCTATTGCCATACATTTTTCGCCAAACACCGCCATTAACACATTATAAGGTGCGATACACTAAAAATCTAAAATATGGTTATAATGTAAACATAACAAAAATAATGAAGCTACTGAAGATATGGCTGTATAACCTAAATCTCTTAGCTTTCTTTGGTTAATAAGAGCTTAAAAATTATCTCTGATCTGTGGCTCATTCACAATCATCACACAGTTTCTGTCACAGAGTACCTTCCATATTATAACCGGAAATGCATGAATGATACCTGATTTTAAAAGTTACTCTTGTGCATTAACTTTAAAAACAGGCAACTATCTGTTAATCTTCAGGCTCTTTATACCTGAATCTAATACATAATTTCGGTACTTGGCTTGATTTCCCTAGTTTACTATATAACTTATTTGTTTTTTATTATTTTAATACCTATGTACCTATTTGCAAACATAACCTCAAAATCGTTCAGTGTATAAGGTTTATAGAAGTTCTCAGGGGTGTCCGTCAATAATATTGGTTTCTACAGTAATTTATATATAATTTCGAATCCAGGAAACAATATTTCAAGATTATTGGTCTTTAGGCCAAACATGTATGGAGGCTGAGCAATCTCCTTTGACTATAGCAAAAAATAAGAATTTAAAATTTACACATTTAGTATGTATTTGATGTGGCATTAACTATCGCCAAATTTAATTATCAATGAAACATTTCAGTCTTGAGTTTATTTAATAATAAATAAAATTGTCTGTTCAGAATGTAATAAAGAACTATAAGTTTTAAATTTTGGTGCTCCACAGCAATTTTGCCTTTTTTTATGCAAGGTCCACTAAATTATCTCATCCACCCCACCCCACCTAAAGTTGAGTCTGATTAGTTATGAAGTGGGTACAGCAATATATGTGCAAAGCTGGATACTCATTAGCAAGCTGTAACTGTAACATGCGTGATACAGTACCGAGGTTCTAGTGTGTACACTTGCAGCTCAGTTGTAAACGTCGGCTCATACACACTATGCTTTTTGGTTAAAGCAATGGTTACGGTTACAGCTCGCTAATGAGTACCCGGCTCAATAGTCATCCTCAACTTGCCAGCCTATCTCAATTGCCTACTGCATGGTTCTTGAATGTTGTTCACCAACAGAATCATATTATCTACCAAAAGCTTGTTTATTTACTGTGTTGTCTAAACGAACAGGTGCTTTTAAAACAAAATAAATTCTTTTATGCTCTACCTCCGCAAAAACCTTGAAGCATTCATTCTGGGTTTCAATTCTTACAGAAATGCATGCAATCATTTAATAGTACAATGACCACAAATGTTGGTGCTGTAAGTTATTAGTTTATATACTTTTGCTTAGTCTCTAGATCTGCTCTGAGGAGTACTATTATTACTGGTGTGATAATATTATAGGGAACCAGTCACACAATTTACAAGGCACCATAAAATATAAAAAAATATACCAAAGCATCCAGTGTGGCATCATTCTGCACATCTTCAAGCTTGCGACGTTCTGTTGTGAGCATATTTAGAACTGCTTCTTGTTTCTCCCTAGAAAAGTTTTAAGTAGTAAAAATAAATACATCATATAAAAGTTGATGAAAATAGTTGGCTTTCTATAAATATTATAAATACAAATACTTACGTTAATTCTTTTAAGTGGGTATTGATAGTGGTTAGAGGCGGTTCATAAAGTTCCAATACACCTTTTCCCAAAAGTTGAACAGTCTTCAACTCTTCTGGGTCAATTGAACTGGAACTAATTACAAATTAGTGAAAACTTTATTATTTGTAAAGTTAGTTTGATAAAACCATTCCGTACACACCTTTCCATTATAAATGAGGGCTTATATTTCAGTGTATCCCGATTCCCGATAATGCTGATTTCTATCCAAAATAAGCACCTTTATAATATTTAGAAGTTTAAAATTTTATTTCTCAAAATTTGCTATCGCCTACGTTGTATTCGATGCGACCTGATTTTGACAGTGACATGGCAGGTACGTCATGATCATGTCACTGTCAGAGCTGTCAAATGGCAAGGAGTGCTCCGAATTTTAATTTCAACAAAAAAGATTATAACAAAGGAGTTCCTTGATTTTTCACTATTTTAATTAATGAAATAAATGTTTTGATTTGATTTCCTCTTTTGTTATGCAATTTCATATTTTTCTCCCAATCATCTTTGTTAATTTATATTATTAATAGGTACCTTTGATAATCAACACAACAAATATATACCTGCAAAGATAGGCCGTATACAGAAAGAAAGCCGAAAGCCGATCGGCGCTTATCGGCGCCGACAACCAATCCTTCCAGAAGAAAGACTTGTTGTCACCATTCGGTAAGTACGAAACAAATAATTTTAGCGCTTAGTTAATAAAAGATAAAGTTATTAGATTCATAAAAAGATTATAACTTAGATTGATTTAATCTAAGGATAATAATTCAAATACAAATTATTTATTATTCGGACCAGCGCGTGTCGGCGCCGGTCCATAGAAAAAGGATCAGCGCCAATAGGCGCCGATCAGCGCCGATCGGCTTTCGGCTTTCTTTTTGTATACGGCCATAGCCTAGATCTAATATATAAAATTCTCGTGTCGCGGTGTTTGTGGTTAAACTCCTCCGAAACGGCTCGACCGATTTTCATGAAATTTTGTGTGCATATTGGGTAGGTCTGAGAATCGGATGTAATCTATTTTTCATCCCCCTAAATGTTAAGGGTACCCCCACCCCCATTTTTTTTAATTTTAGATATATTTTTTTATGATACATCATACAAAAATACATACAACCCTAAATTTTCACCCTTCTACCACCAACCCCTATTTTTTTATGGCGGTAAGAAGTTCGCTGGGACAGCTAGTAATCATATAAAAGTCTTTAATGGAAACCATTTTCTTCATTAATTTATACTTCTTAGTTTAAGAGTTCCCTGCATTTTTTCATGATCTTCAATAATATAAGATCATAAAAAAATTAAAGACAGGGAACTCGCATTTAATTTTTTTTTATGATCTTCTGTTTTGTATTCTTGCTTGAAAATTTTTCCTAGTAATTTTAACAGGTATTGATAAACATTTTGAAATTTACTGAGCTTCTGCAAATGAGTTTTCTTCTACCATACAGTGTCATAAGCATAGCTCGGATTTTTTCTTAACTTTAGGGAGTTGGTTCTTTCTTTTAAAGCTTACGTCCATGTAAGGTAACATGCCAACCGCGGAATAGATTCGGACCAATTTTTTTTCTAAGATCAAAGATATTGCTATCATACCACCTTGTCGTTTACTTTTTGTATGTAAAAGTTTAATTTAATAATACGTTTTTACTTAAATTAATTACTTACTTCATCGTTTTTGATATACTTCACTATAATATAAAATTACATTCAACCTTTAACATTTACAATGAATATTTTTTTTTGTCCAATTTCGAGCATCCATAAAAAATATTTATTTATTACGACCAACCAACCAACCAATCCACGGAATTTATAAAGCAATGTTATTATTATGAGATAATAATAAAATAATAAGTGTCGCAATTTCGCAATATTTTATGATAGTACTGTCATTTATTCGTGGATATTGCAATTGCATATGTGTAACGAAACGCATCTTTTTTATGGCTGCGGATTCACTTGTTTTGACGTTCTTCATTTATTTTCCAGAGTTCATGTGAAGATTTAGCCGTTTCTCATAGGAATCAAGTGCGATAAGCTTTGTTTAGCATTTTAGTCATAATTTCTCAGTTAAATTTGCCAATCTGGAAATTTTACTAGTGACCCGCGAGGACGCCGAGATGACGTCCGTTGCAAGAAGAGAGCATGATGATTCCGGTGAATATTCGGATGCATCGCAGGATATCGAACACAATAACTCGGGCAATGTAAGTTTCATATACCACAGACCACTCGGGACAGTTTTTTTCAAGTAGCTGACTTTCATTTTGCCGCTAAAAATAATTCTTCCGTGGCCACTTTCTCCTGTATTTTGCGTGACGGTATGCCCATTTCTTTTTGTAAAATTGAGGTCACGGCTTGGACACCACTCACCAAAACGCCGCCGATGTGTTTAGACCTCAATATTTTAGTAAAGCGCCACGTCCAAAGACGTAAGAAAGTGAAAAATGCAATTGTTGAAAGTTGGTGAATGTTTACAGGATGTTGGGCAGCCTGAATCAGACTATGATTCCCAAGGCAGCGACTCCGAAAGATCAGATAGAGATCTCGAGAGCCAGGTTTGTTTGTTTATTTTGGTATTTTATACTGCTTTTCGATATATAAAATAACCTACCTGCAAAATTTATATTAATTATTTTGTAACTTATTTTAGTTTGGTTTAATGCAATAAGATTTATATGCTAAACATGGGACAAAATATAATCTTTGTGTATAATTTTAGAAAGTATGCAATGTGCATGCATTATTTATTATTAGTTACATGTTATGGCTTTCTGAGTGAACAGTAGATGGTGAGATACAGTGGTATACATTTGATATTCTTTGTAGATGAATTCATTGGTGTGAAAAAAATATAATGTTATTAATCTCATAAAAAAAAAAAATATTGTGAGGTACAACACCATATTTCTTTTAAAACCAGATAATTTATTTAATTATTATTATGTATTGATCAATATTACTTGCATAATTATACCTAGTTTAATTATAGTGCTTGTTTAATAATGCATATCTGTTGTTTAGTTCTTCAGGCTTCTTGAATAATTGCTTAATGTAACACATTTCAGGAGACAGAACGCAGAGTAGATGACGATGAGGACCGTAGCAATCCTCAGTATATCCCTAAAAGGGGAACTTTCTATGAACATGATGATAGAACTGCAGCAAGGTAATTACTGTAAATTTCTCTTTATCCAATATTTTACTATTTGGTGTTCAGGTCAGGTTATTGTGGACAATTGTGACTGTAATAGTCAATACTCTTCTTAGAATTAGTCCTTAAAATATCCATTATAAACATCCAAGTTTCAATGATTGGACAGTACAGGAATTATTTTTGTTTATAAAAAAATTAAGAGTATGTACATTTATACCCGTACAAGATAAACACATCTTGTACGGGTATAAATGTATATTTAATATCCCTCCACAAAAGTTTTTGATGGAAAGTATATGCTTATTCATACTCATATTTATCTTAAAAGATAATACTATCGTAAACCATTATGTCAAACATAATTATCTTTCATAAAATCTTATGAATAAAGTACTGTAAAACAAGCAAATGGCCTTAATCTGCACTGTTGCTGCAAACTGCCTAACTTTCCAATCCAGTATATTACAATAATTGTTGCCGCTCCAATGAACAGCTTGGTCATTGACGTTACATCCACCAATATGATCCAAGTAGATAGCAGCCAAATGTAGAGGAAATGATTCCTGCAATGTACTGTATGATATAAAGGAATTATTTCATACTTAATCAAATAGTAAATAAAAAATATATATCCAATTTAATTGGAGATACTAAATCCCATCCATGAATACATTATCAGAATTGAGAATGGCTCTACTATCTTTAGGGTCACAAATAATGTGTATGTTGGCTTGCTGGTCACCGCTATAATTTTATTAGTTATATTGTAATTTAGGTTATAAGCTAGACAAACTTTATAGACATTTTAAATTAGCCAAGAAATTGCTTTAGAACTTCTAAAGATTTTGCTTAGGTATCACAATTTGAAATCATTTTGACAAAACAAGAATTTCATAATCTGCAAAATAGAGACTTAATGGTAAAGTAAATAAGCTCCTTTTATTTAATGGTAAAGTAAATCTTGCTGGCATGAAAGATGTTTATTATTCCTACTAGCGGTGAAGAATCAAGCAACACGACTTCAGAGACTGCCTCTGAGAAGAAAGAAGGCAGCGAGACACCCGCTGAACGCCGTCGGGCGCCCCGCAAGTCTGACGTCATTAACAAGTGGTCTCACGACAAATACAACGAGAATGAACAGGTATCAATCACATTAGCCATTAATAAAAATAAAAAGAGGAATAAATATTACCGTAAATTTGGCAGGTTTGACAGAAATTACGATTATTTCCTAATGTTCGTTTTAATCACTACTCTTTCATTTAACTTATTTAAAGTCAATCTTGACTTTGGTTTTTTTTATCATAGTAATTATCAGCCTATTAATGGGCATCGACCTTCTTTCCAAGATGGAATAGGGATATTGGGCCATGGCCCATCATAGGCACTCGATGCGGTGGGCCATCGAGCTCCTCCTGAACAAGAACTTTTCCAGGAAGAAGAACTTTAACTACACACCTTGGAAAAGTTCTTGAGCATAAACCATAGCCAATGAAGTCTGCGCAGTAGCGATTTTACATATGAAAATGTGTACTGTGCGAGTATGTTTGTCTATGGTTTCACATATGAAGTTTGCCGCTACCTATACCTTACTAAACTTAGTAAAACTGAGTGTCCCTACATATATTATAGCAAGAGGTGGGATATCTCGGATGTTTCACTGTTTGTGTCAAACTGTCATTTGTGTCAAACTGAACACACACACAGCAACTGTCATTTGTGTCAAATTGGGTTCACTAGATGTCACTTTTTGAATTTCCCGGTATTGCAGGCTTTTTCAATAAAAAGTGCTTTCTATAATAGCCAACATCTCAACTTAAGGTAAATATGCATCCAATTAGTAATGCGATCCCGGAGTTGTGGGATTTTATTTTGAATAAAAATATCCTATCCTAATTCTCTTTCATAATTTGTTAGCCAAATAATAGCTTTAGGTCAATATGCATCCGATTATCTGATCTCTCTATATAATGCTTTATTATCATAAGATGTAAATTCCAAAACTACAGCATAATTGACAAAACAATTATCTCTTAAGCCTCGTTTTCGTTTTTACCGCCGTAAACTCGCCCCGTGTCATCGAGGCTTTAGTAAAACCAGATATATCAACTATATGGTGCTATATTATAATCAGTACTATCTATTGTTTTAATTTAGATGCCGAAATCTCGTGATGAACTAGTGGCCATATATGGATACGACATTAGGAATGAGGACGCACCGCCGCACGCTCGCCGCAATAGAAGATACGGGTAATTTGCTTTATATTATTTACATACTTAAATTATTGCAAGCAGTAAAAGCAGAAAAAACGGAGTGCTATACAACATTGTTGTTACATACATAGCTGACCTCACTATTTAGTGGTTTTTTGGAGGGCTGGTACAGATGCAGGTGTTGAATCTTCATTTCCTACATTAAGATCAAGATTTATAAGAAAAAAAAATAACTTATTTAAAAGATTTTATTTTGAAAAAGAAACTTAAGTGCAGCCGCTCAGAGATTGCGTTTCTGACAGGTCGAGTCAGTTCCGTATGGCGACAGAATAGAGTACACTTTAGATCTAATAAAAAAAGAGGTTGGAAAATTAACTCTAATGCTATCACCATAAGGAACCAACACAACCTGTCAGAAACGCAATCTCTGAACAGCCAGACTATAGTAGGTAGGTATTCTACCAATCCTTTAAATTAATTGAAAATATATTTAAATACTTATTCCATTATTTAAAGACAAGTATCTATTTAGAGCATATAAAATAATTACTGAGTGAATTTTATATAAAAAAACTAGGTACATAATTAGGGTTATAATAATTTGGTGACAATGAGGACTTATAAACTTAATTGTTATCTAAACAATTGTTTTTTTGTGTTCTAATAAATTAAAATGTATTCATTGAGTGTTGCTATCTTTTCCCATTTGCTATTCCAACCGGAGGTACCGACATTGGCGGTTTGTTTTTCTGTATTACGCTGCATGTTCTTCAGCTTGAAGATGTTTATTTGCAATAAAATCTCCGCTACACTATGGTACAACGGGTCAGTGACATTTATCTGTCAAAATACAATGGATTTGACAGGTAACTATCATATAATAAATCTCTGTATCATAGTAATGTTGCGGTGATCGACTCAGGACCACTTTCACCAAAATTTGTAGATCCAAAAAGCTCAATCGTGTTTAACACATCATTCCATCAATCAATTGTTTAAAGTCAAATGGAGGTGGGACTAGAATTTTAAACAGGAATAGTTATTTAATTTGATTAAACAGTTCGTGCAAGTGGGCCTGATCTTTTTGTGCCTTATTTATTTATATAGACTTAATGTTTAATTTTCAGTACCTATTCATTTCAATAGAGGTTTAAAAAGTGAACCAATCAGATTCTTTACTTCTGATGGGGTCTGTGTTCTATTCCATCTCTATATGCGATGGGATTGGCATCTGCGCCCACGCGAAGAATCAATGGATTGCCGATTAGTTTGGTCTCGAGACAACAGAAATTATTGTTGATTTAATAAATTGCTTATTTTCAAGATGGCACCCAACTCATGAGGGTTCGAATCCCGGTGGGGGCAAATGTTAGCATGATGAATCTGAATGAGCATTTGTACCATAGTCAGGGTGTTTATATATATTTATACTAGCTGTCCCAGCGAACTTCATACAACCATAAAAAATAGGGGTTGGTGGTAGAACGGTGAAAATTTAGAGCTGTATATATTTTTTTATGATGTATAATAAAAAATAGGTACCGTATAGGTAAATAGGTAATAGTATAAAACCCCAATATATAAAATAATCCCATAAAATAACTAAAATGTTGACATCACTAATTGAACCACCATGCTGTATGGGGCATTGAGGATTGTGATTTATTGGGCAAACATCGTCTTCGGCATCCTCATCTGGTCTCATTCAAAATTAACCTGCATATAAGTTTTGCATGTATGTACTTGATAGAGTAGTTTATGTCGAAAATAATAATGTAAAAAATATATTTTCATTATGTTGTAAAATTTGACCCAATTGTAATGTTTGTAGAAAGTCACACAAATGATAATAAATACGTACTTGACTAAAAAATCCTGAGTGTGGTAATACACATAATAATAATATGACATGAAAAGGTTTCGAAACCCTGCTTCTTTCAAGCTCTTCTTTTTAATGTTATCCAGAATAAAGAATACATATATGTATTAAGGTTAGGTTCATGATGTACTGTTATGAGAGAGAAGTTTATTATTATTATTACTAGCTGACCCAGCGTACTTCGTATTGCTTACAATAATTTGGAAGAAATGATAAACGACGAACGTCAAATGTTTGACAGGAATATACACATAGCCATCTGTCGGATCCAATGTAAAACATTCCAAAATCAACAACTACTAATAAATTAAAAATTAATTAAAAAAATATTGTCCAGCGGACAAAATTGTGAATCTAAACCATTCTCAGATCCCCTTGAACACACACAAAAAATTTCATCAAAATCGGTCCAGTCGTTTAAGAGAAGTTCAGTGACATACACACTCACAGAAGAATTATATATATAAAGATTATCCGTTACTCTAGCACCCCATAACACAAACCTTACAGTGCTTACTTAGTAGGCTACTTGGTGTTAGTGTGGGAAATATTATATTATTATTGTTTATCTTTCTCCTCACAGCCGTGGGCCTAATAAATATACACGTACATGGGAGGACGAAGAAGCATACAAGAGGCAATCGGCCGCGCAACCGCAGCCGAGGAAACCGCCCAATCCCGATGAATTCCCAGAACTGGACGCAAGCAAGAAGCAAAAGTATACCATATTGCTATTTTTATTTATTTATAGTTTACTCCCTCCTCCCCCCTGGAATTAGTAAATCAAATAAAAATATTCATTCAGACGGAATAGGGAGACTGGGTCGTGACTAGTGTTGCCAAGTGTCCTGATTTGCCCGGGACATCCCGATTTTCAGGGTTCTGGGGACGCGTTCCGATTTGTACCTGAGCGGGACGCTAAATGTTCCGATTAATCAAAAAATGAAATTTAGGTAATTAATATAATACTAGTACTATGAGTTTAAAACGCATTAAATTAAACCCAGACTTAAAAACCCCTTGTTATTTGTTACCGGGACAGTAGTCCCGATCTGCAACCTTATATCCCGATTTTTTTGACCTCATGTACCGATTTAAAACAAATCGGACCTGGCAACACTAGTTTTGACCCACCAGCGGGCTCAATGTCGATTGGTGGGTGAAAAGGACTGCAGATAAGGCCACTACTTTTTGTACTGTGGAATGTCATTTCAATGGAAGAAATGCCCAATGATACCCCTCAAAAAAATTTACATGTTAGAAATAGATTTTTATCTTTGTCTTGTAATTGTAAGCCATTGTAGTCGATTCTGGCAGGGTTTTCTAAACCTAAATAAAAATATTACAACAGTGTATCTTTGTCATTCTCTATACAGAATGAAAAGGAGATACTGATGTTAAATTTAGTTTTAAAGTTTAGAGAATCACGCCAGAGTCGACACCATTGAGTGATAAAGAAAAAGTGCTCCACTAAGTCGTTTCCATTAATAGCGTTCACAAGAAAAAAACTCAAATTAGTCTTTCGATTTAAAATGTGTGTAGTGAAATTTCTCGACATCTATAAATCAAACAGATTTGCTTTAAATAAATAAAACTCTTAAATTAATTCAGTATTACCCTGACCTCTTAATTTCGTAGTAAGAAAATGCGTGCTCCTCGACCGCGTTCCAAGTCTCAGCCCGCATCTAACGAGTCACTCGAAAATGGAGATAATAATCAACTCAGAAGAAACGCTTCTATCAAATCACCTAAAGGTAAATCAAAACAATATTGCTTTTCAAGAATTTTCATCTCTTATTCAATATAGTTTATAAGTCCATTCCAAATATTTTAAGAAATTACTCTCTGTTTACATTTTGTCTCAAAGCATTTGGAACATACTACTTAAATTTAGTGATTATAATTTTTTTATGAAAGACAAACGGACTGTATATAATATATTTAAAAGTTTTTATGAAAAAACTATTATTCTTAACTATTATTTTTAAAGTTAATGAGTATAAAGTCCAAATTTGTTATCCAGGTAAAAACGAAAGGCCTGTTAAAGTCAACGTCAGTAAAGGCGCAGTGAAACCGATTCCCAAACCATCGCCCAAAGACAGGATGCCGCCGCTCGAGAACCTGACCATAACCACTTCGGTCACCGCTAATAAGTGAGTGTGATAATGTTTTTGTATATTATATTTTTGGAGTGATAACTTCTTATGCTCCCATAAACCAGTTCCTTAAGTAACGCGTTACATTTGGGATCATGTACTATATCAATTAGTGATGAATACTCGCTTTTTGCCAGCCAAGGACAGCCCCAGAGGAAGGTGAATGCGACTGTGGCTCAACAACGTCCGGTGCCCACTGAACAGGCGAAGCGGAAACCACAACAACAGGTTAGTTAAATATCATTTGATTTGACGCCAACTAAAACTCTTAAATACTGTCCAATCTATTAAATAATTATTACTTGTTATGTTCATCACATTGATTAATCATAGATGACATATCAACAACAACATCGTTACCATGGCAGCGAAGTACACAAATTTTCTTTTGCATAAAGACACGAAATTCTTTAAGAAACTACATTTGAACCACTACATTTTGACATTTGGGTTCATTCGTCTGTTTGTTTAAAATTATGGCAATTAAGATGGAAAATATTTAAATGATCAACAAAAAAGGTCCTTACAGTTTTACTTTTACAAATCAAAAGGTTAGGTTAGGTTAGCAGTTGTATTATTTTGGATATCATTTACTTGTATTGTTTTGGTGATCAGTTTAAGCCATTAAAAATGATGAACCTTATTTTCTTATGTTAATTTACTTATAAATCATTATCAACCTATTAATGTTCTCACTGCTGTGGTCAGGCCTTTCCTATGGGTAAGAATGCAGATGTAAGCGGGATCAACGGCTTAAGCACGGAGGGGCTCCAGATAGATTTTTTGTCACCCATCCAATGACCGACCACTACGAAAGTTGCTTAATTTCAACGATCGCACTAACCACTTGCGCCATCGGGCTCCTCATGGTAGATTGAAATGATATAGGCTCAATTTACACCGCCGCGGAATTGAATGGAAGCGAACTTTTGCAACGAAATTGTGCACAGTATAATGAACTTTATGCCAATTGTATAACATACAAAATAAATGAGAGCAGGGAAGCTGGAGATGATAATACTTAAATTTTGGCCACCCATCCCATTACCGGTCATTGCGAGAGTTGCTTATTTTTCACGGTTGCAGACCGGACACGCTCAAAGTAATTTTTATATAAATAAATTTATGTCATTATTGGTAAGTTATTTTTTGTTGACAAGGATAGTTATTATTATAAAACTCGTATTTAAATGATCGTCAAAAATAGTATTTGATCCTCAAAAACATACAACTGGTCACCTAATCTTTAGGTTACCAACAAAGAATTAGAAATGAAATGGAATACAAACCGCGCAAAAAAGTGGTTCCACGCAACTGCGATCAAGTTGGCGGGGTGAAAAAACTGCGATCAACACGACTCATCATTTGATTGGTTGGGATTTTCGTTGAACATTATCTTGCCCAATGAATAGCCGAATTCATTTACAGATGTTTTGTTAAATTATTTTGTTTTGCCTGTGTACGTGTCGCTTTTGTGTTGAAGTTTAGATGTCTGAGTTTAGAACCATGTCTTAGCGGCCTTTGTTAGAGATTAATGCTTCCATATCTTTTCGAATTCGTTGGTTTCCAATTGTATTTTTAGGTGATCATTTACAATTTTTTGAGGATTATTAATATAAATCCCTTACTGTAACATTAGCCGCAACAACTAAACAACGTAGCACCTAACAAGTCGCCGCCGCAGCAATCTCAGCAGCCGCAGCCGCAACAGAAGCCGCAAGCGCAACAGAATCAACCGCAACCGCCGCAAACCGCGACTGGTGAGCTATTTTTTTTTAGAGAGGTAGGCAAATGACTACCCCACCTGATGTTAAGTGGTGATAAAGTCCAAACGCGAAGATAGCTGGTACATCAGTAATAAACTGCTACACCAAACATCCTCACCTTGCCGGCCTGCAAAAATGCTTCTTTACGCCTCTCTTAAAGGACCCCAGATTATAGGAAGGAGGGAACATGTGCGCGGGTAAAGAATTCCACTTACAAATAGTACGACAAAGTATATAAGTACTCTGGTGGCTCTAATCGCTGGGTGCGTGATGACAGCGCCAACTAGCGGTTACAATTACAGCGAGAATGATATGTCAAATGGCTCGCTGTCATTGCAAATATTATGTAAACAAACAAATAATTTCAATGAAATATCGTAATTTGTATAAATTCTATTCGATCGTGTAAATGTATAGTGTCGATAATAACGTTGAACCTATTTATTTCTCGTCTTTAATGGACTTTTTGGCGGGATCGGGAAGCGTCACTTCAGCAGTTTTGTTTTTCTTGTTAAAAATTGCGTTGTGGCGGATGGTAGTTTCTAATAATGGTGGATTATTAACCAGTAAGTGTTCGGAAACATGCACAAGTGTTGGCAAGTGAAACAAAATAGCGGAAAGTGTCTTTCGACGTTCCCTCAAGAAGTCCACGGGGAGGTTCCAGTAAATCCCCACACTTTTACTGAAACGTAGGGAAAGGGGGATTGACTTGACTGCCACTGACTTTGACTACGAGTGCTATAGTATTTGTAAACCTTTTAACACTTGACATTGGCTAAATGCACAAGCCGTGTACACAATCAGTTTCAGGTAGTACACACGGACTTTCTCATATCTGACTTCGCGAGAAGTATGGAAAGAACCCGGCGCACTTCCAAATTTTATTTAAATACAGTCCTTTTAATTACAATAAGACTACAACAAAGTAAGAAAGTTCCATTCTGGTGCAGTCTTTTGAAAGTTATGTGCATATACACAAACATTCTAAAATTCGTTTTTCTTTGTACAAAATTAACTCGTGTCATTAATGAAAGGAATCGGAAATTCCGACGCAAAACATTCTGCCTCTCTCGTACATTACTGAGGTTAGCATGTGCGAGAGGGACATAATATCTTTCTTTGTCATTTGCGATTCCTTTCTTTAATGACGAATTATAATTATATGTAAAACACTAGGTGCGGAAGCCCGTGGGAGCAAACGCTATAGTAGCTTACGCCAGCGTCCTCTCGCCGAATCGTACTCTCCACAACAACAACAACAGACGCAGCAGCAACAGCCTCAACAACAGCCGCAACAGCAACCGCAACAGCAACAGATCAGATACACTGGTAAGTATTTAACGTCGATTTTTTTTAGTAAAAAATGTTTTGTTCTCCATTCCCGGGCTCAAGTGTTTAAATTTATAACGATCGATTACTTAATGACACTATTACATTTGTTTTTAATGAAACTAGGGCAGGGATGGGCAAACTACAGCCTGCAAGGCCATATCAGACCCTTGAAAGGTTGAAACCTGGCCCGCGACTATCAAATTAAAAACAAAAGAGCTCACCATAAAGTACCAATTTTTCACATGTTCCGACAAGGACAACCCCGCTGCCGAACCAAGTACTTTCCTATTTACACTAGGGGAGTATTTACCCTGCTGCTGGGTTATAATTAGAGATCGGTGATCGGATGCATATTTACCTAAAGTAGAGATTTGGCTTTTAATCTTCCGGGAAATTCAAATTGAAATGTATACTTCATGAGATCAAATAAACCCAGATTGACACAGGCGACAGGTGCCGCTTGTATGTAACATTAAAATACGGTAAATAGTAAGTTAACTTAATGAATAAATATGTTTAAAGTAATTTATGTTTACTTATTAACCACACTACCATTTCTCTTACACATTACATACACACACTGGAATGGAAAATGAAAATTTAACTTAGTGAATATACATCCGATTATTTATGCGATCACTATCATATCAATATGTTTTACCATTTCTTTATTAGTTAATCATGAATACAACATAATTTACACTGAGGGAGATTTGAAGTTCATAATAAGATTAGCATATTATACTAATCAGATATGAATTTTCTGAAACGTCATCATCAGGCTCGGCATCTATTAAATATAATAAAAGTTCGGTAATATCGACTATGGTGTCGAGTCTGTCATGAATCTCTGTCTAAACAAAAATTTGACAACAGTGTATCCTTGTCATTCTTTATACAGAATGAAAAGGAGAGACTGATGTTAAATTTAGTTTTAAATTTTTTTTTTTTTTTTATACCACTAAGGTAGCAAACAAGCATGCGGCCCGCCTGATGGTAAGCGGTTACCGCAGCCTATAGACGTTTGCAACACCAGAGGTGTTACTTCCGCGTTGCCGAAGTTTAGAGAATTTATGCCAGAATCGACACCAATATGACCCTGTTACCAGTTTTTATTTAAAATAAAGACGACTTATTTTAATGAACAACACATGAAAGATTATGTATTGATAAAGTGTACTATCATTTTTTAATTTTTTAGAAAATAATAATGGTATGAAATGTAACCGTCAAATAAAAATAACAACTTAAAAACCGGTATCGCTAGTACAACACTACATAATAAAAGCTGGTGTCATTATTTGCAAATTTGACATTTGCATGTGTTATTTTTGTCTTCATGATTAAAAAACACACTATAGCAGAAAATTATGAAATCATCGATAAAGATGAAATTTCACAATACATGAGCATAATTATTTTGTTTGTTGATGTACAACTAAACACTACTTCCTCTTTAAATTTTTTCCTTTGCACAAAATAGCAGACAATGGTTTTGGATGCTGGTGTTCCAGAAAATTAAATATATTAATGTGGCTTCTGTTCGGTTACTGCACTGCAAAGCAAAAAGGTTGGGTGCTATGCTGCTTGTATTGTTAATGCTAAAGAAAAACTTCAGCCAAATATTTTTATTTTGTCATAATTGAATTATAATTTTCTTCGAAGTACCACATTAACATTTTAATGTAATGTGGACGAACCAGTCCCATATAGACAGTATCATAAAAAATAATTTAAATCTTGAAATAAGAGATCTTGTATCAAGTTAACTAAAGTTAATAAAATAAAAAATTTCGTCTTTATTACCCTTTATATTTAAGTATGACTTAAATTCGCTGGTATTGTTATTTAATATAGTTCATTTACCAGACTAGTTATTAAACGAATTGACATTTTTATAAGTGTGAGATCTTCCGATCGATATGTCCGCGTAAAGCTGCGTATTCATTAGGCAACATTTGTTTATATTATAAAAAGTGTTTTACAATGTTGCATCACCTCAGTATACAGTTTCGAAACAGGTTATAAACAAAAGTGATGACACATTGTTTCAGATAAATGTTGCCATGTTCTGGACTCTAAATGGAGAGCTAGACGAAACATTTAGTTTATAAATAAAGGTTGACTGGTGTGGATGCGTGTTGCCGAGGGTATATAGTTTATTTAAGCATGGACGTAGTATGGTCCAATGATTAAGTTTCGATACTCTTACGTCGGGTATGATCCTGCTGATTAATAGTTTTGATATTTTAAAAGTATATGACAGTGTGACATACGAGTCACCTGTTGCAAGAAATCTTAAAGTAATAGCAAATCTTCGCTGGATCTCAATAGCACTCTACACAAGTTGGCTTGAATTTACAAGGAATACCTTGGTGCAATAGCACTACATGTTTTTATTGGTACAAAAGTATTAAAACATACATCCACAATTGCATGGGGTGTTTATCTATACCTACTTCTACAACTTCTATGTATACTAGAATAGAATACTAACTAAATAATACAGAGTCTATAAAGAGTAAAGATTTGAATGCTAGTAATGAATTAATCCAGAAAGTACAAGATCTATTCTGTTACCTTTAGAATGAAACATAATCTTTGAGCAACATTGACTATATTTTATCGCGTTGAAATAAAGTTTACCCATGCAAAGCTAGTACATAATAAATTCGTGCAATACAAAGCCATAGGAATCCCCTTTCTTATCGCACTAAACTCAGTGTGAATGTTGATTTGTGTTTGGGTGTCGATTGTACACACTCGGTGCAGAGGTTGATTTGTGTTTGGGTGTTGATGGTACAGAGTACGCGGCGAATGCGCCGCCGGCGCCCCACCAGGGCAGCCCCGTGCCGCAGATGCACCCGCCACAGCTTATGCACCAGGTAAATATCGCAAATGTCCAATAAACAAAACTTTATACTTGCTTCTTGTATTGTTAGGTTGTAAAAAGATCCTTACAAGCCTTTAGCACACTGATGCGGTGAAACGTGGTAGCGGAATTGCAGTAGTCTATCTTTCAATATGAAGATACAACGTGTATGTTGCATCTTGCCATATCAGCACCCTTAGCATGAACCACTATTGAATTCGAAAGGTTGAATTTGATCTCGATACGCGTCAAATGTCAAGAAGTTTTGTATGGATCCACGGCGTCCATCAGAAACCAAGCTCTTGAGTAACAGTGATACTATACATGAGAGTCATTAATAGGTCAGCAAATCAACTCAAAATCAACCGTATAATGATCTAATAGGCTTTTTAATTAATATACTTTTTAAATCATCGAAATCGATTTATTCTTTGCGACTTTATAACTAATTATATGGTAGTCAATATTCATCGGCAGCCGAAACGTGTGACGACACAGCTCGATCGTAGTTCATTCCGGTCGAACTTCAGTAGCGTCACCACGCACGCTCGCGCTCGAGCGCTAGAGCTCTGTGACCCCACAGCCACCACGCGGTCAGCCGAAAATTCGTTTAGTAATTTGGCCATAACTTCGTCAATATTTGTCGTAAAACAAAAATTTTAACCACTTTATTTTATGGAATTCTTAGCTCTTTAAATCTATCAACTATAATCGTTACGGATCCTCATTTTAGGAAATCACAGCCAGATAGAAATACCCAACTTATTCAAACATATAATTAGTGTAGGGCAGATTACCGCAAATTCGCTACTGTGTTTCGCCGCGTCAGTGTGCTAAAGGCGAGAGTGCGGCCCACGAAAGAATGCGATCCTGCAAGATCCTGTCAGTGCCTTATGGCGACAATTAGTTTATTTTCGGACCTTTTTTACTCCATCGAAAGTGTACTTTATTCTGTAACTTAAGGAACTGACACGGCCGATAGGCTGAAAAGGATCGCCAATGATAAAGGTTGTGGGAAAGGAAATCACAATAGGCTATTTGACAAGATTTCTAAAACGTTAATACGTTTATTTATTAGTGTATAGTGACTCCATAAAAGTCGATATCTATAATTCTGTTGTGTATATCAGTAAAAAAACCAAAATCATAAATCGGTTTTCAAATATGGCGCGAAAATGCTTCTCTAGCAAATATGGCGTCTTACAGGCAGGTGACGTCATTTTAGGCCCCGCTAATCCTAGGCGTTTTCAGTCACGTAACAAAAGATCAAAAATACTTTTCTAGCTTTTTAGTAATATTATGACCTACATCTTTTTGGGAGAATTATTAAATTTCTCCCAGTAATCATGTTAAATACACTCTATTTTTCATACTGTCAAATAGCCTGTTAAAGTAATGCTCTCTATTAACATGTTAGATGGGAACGGATAGATGCTAATTGCTATGGAATAATAATACTCTATTCGGCTAACTAGGATAATATTGACATGTCAATGGACTAGAGAAAAAAAACGAGTGTGCTTATGACCACACGACTGAAGTGAAACTTCTTTAGCTCCATCTGTATATATGTGTACAATATATACATGTATGTACATATACATATTTGATTTACTAGCTATAAGAGAAAGAGAGCGGGCCCGTTCGCCAACTTACCCCCCAAGTCAAGCGTGCGTAAAGAAATTTCACTTCAAGATACTGCAAATTCAGCTGAGCTCAAGGAAATATATTTTTGATCACCCATCCTATGATCGTCAGTTGCGGTCGCGCACTGAACGCACTAACTATTTGCACCATCGAGCATCACTGCCAACTGTATAGTATAATAACCCATTGACATTGAACCTTTATTAAGACAACATATTATTAGCACGCATTCAAAAGAAAATCTGCTAGATTGCGATTCAAATTTAATGACGGCTGTGAAGTTAGTGCAAGTCGCGGCGTAGTAAGCAAAATGTAGGGTGATGCAGGCACGCGCGGGATGTCTGTGCTGAAACCTGCGTATGGTTGCACTCGCTGCTAACTTCACAGCCGCCATAAAGTGTGAATCGCACTGTAGCCAGGACCGGATTTTGGGGGTTTAATGTACGTCCGTAACCTTATTTTTTTATAGTAATATTTTCTTTATAAGAATTACTATTTAAGAATAAGTATAATGTTCGCTATAGCAAGTACATCGGGCGGCGGTGCCACCGCAGCACGGGCCTTCGCCCCCGCACCAGCAATTGCCTCAACCGCAGCATTCGCAACAAGTAAGTATATTGATAGTTAGAAAAATAACACGTTACTGAAACTAAAAGAGATTATAAAGTATAGGTAGTGGCAAGCTGCTTGAGTAAAGCCATAGACAAATAAACTTGCGCAGTAGTTTTGGTATGTGAAAATAATACTGCGCAGGCTTCGTTCGTTGTCTATGGTCTTTGCTCAAGAAGTTTTCCGGGAGGTATTATACGAAGTAATAATAGCTGAAATTTAACATTTGTGAAGTGTTTTTATCTTATGTTTTCACGCTCAATAAAGGTGAATTAAGTTGCTGTTATATGTTTAAATTGTTATTTAGTTTATGCGGTCATTCATATGATATGCCGACGAATTAGAAATCATATGGAAGCATTACTCCCTAACAAAGGCCGCTAAAACAGGATTTCAAACTCATACAATTGAACTTCCAAACTAACACGACATGCACACAAACAAAAAAAAATATCATGTTAAATTAAATATCTGTCAATGAATGAGGCTATCCATTCATTGGGTAAATAATGTTAATCAGAAATCCCAACCAACCCCACGATCGCCGTATTGATCGCACTTTTTTCGTCCCGCCCACCTGATAGCAGTTTGCGTTGAACCACTTTTTAGCGCAGTTCGTATTCGATATTATTTCTAATTCGTTTCATAATCATAATTACATCAAGCTATGTAAAAGAGTTTTCAAATCATTAAGATTATGATTGTTTGTCTGATTTTAGGTTAGGTTAGGTCTCCTTGATCAGCAGCAGCTCGTTTCGCATCCGCACCCGCTTCACAACATGCCACAACCGCACGCTATAGGTAAGTATCTACAAGACTCCTATATGTTTATTACATTAATAATAGAAAGTAACCAGATGGACAGCTTCTGCCATCCTCGAAAATTAACTAAACTTACCGCTATTGATTTTAACAACACTCGCTAGTCGCGAAAAGTTATGCTTGAAAATGCCTGTAAACAAACGTCAATGTATGCGTGATAATAATTATGGTTTTTTCTGAGCCGATTCTCTGCATGAGCGTGATGTTATAGCTCGTGAAACGAATCAAAAGGCTACCGACGCAAGACAGTATGTTTCTCTCGCACGTTACCGAGGAAAGCATGTGCGAAAAAGATAGAATGTTTTACGTCGTCATTTGCGATTCGTTTTTCTTTATTGGCGCGAGTTAAACGTGCTTGTGATGTAAAACGTTGAATCACGTACCCCCTTATTAATAAACAAGGAATAAGCTTTGACTAGTTACTAGTTTTGCCGTGTTTTGTTCATGTCACTGAAATGCCATTTGTCATTCTATAGACAGAGACAAAACATGGAGTAACTAATCCAAGCGTAGTCTTCGTTTATTAATATAGGGGGGTAGGGTTTAACGATGCTAGGTAAGGGGTGCAAACGAGTTAATTGCCGTGTAAGAATTTTGATTTATAGGTTTTTTCAACCCATCCTATTGATTGCAAATGTTGCTCAATACTATCATTTTTTTTATTGTTACGTTGTGATAGTACGAACGTACACACAATTAGTACCATTAGTTCTAGAATATTACCTTTGATCTTTGTTGTCCGAACGAAGAAAGTTATCTTGGACTAGTGGATGGTGTCGTTTTGCTAGGACGACGCTTTGTATTAATTCCATTGATCGTAACATTTATTTTAGGACAATTACAAGCAACACAGGGTTATGCACCACCAGCGATGATGCCAGCACAGTACATGCAGGTATGTTGATATCAATACTTTAAATTCAGTTATTAATATAAGAACAATCTACGTTTCGTACTACCTCGCTCTTAGTGTAGCCTGTAGGGGTAAACAAAGACTACCTTGTCATAGTTATTATACCGTGAGTTCACAGTAAAATAACGATTATTAATATCGTATAGCAGGCTATATTTATTTAAACCGGCAGGTAGGGGCGGTAGCGTTTGATTGTTATGGGTGACAGTGTTCACAGTAATATAACCATTATTGCTATAGAGTTCAAGGCAACTTTGCCAGTTTTTTTTGCCAAGTCGCAATTTAGTAACTTTTTGAGTGAAAAAAGTGGGACACTTACGTCGAAAGCGGGACATAGTAAAAAATACGTATATAATAAGAAGTTTTTGAATATTAATTTTTTTTTCGAGTTCAAATTACGTTGACGTGGCAATACATAGGTACCTGATAAAAATATCCACAGACAACGTATTATAATAAAAATATGATATTTTAAATCAGATTTGCCCTCTCGTTGAATAGTTAAGTCTTTGTTTGAGAGTTCTTCATTACGTCCGCGCCGGGCAGGCCAGTGTACACTTGTCTTGCCACCTGCCCGCGCTTTCTCAGTGCGTTGCAGGCACGGTCTAGTTATTCTCGAAAAGCGGGATTGAGCCTGTCCCGCGTGGGACATAAAATTTTGATTTAAAAATCGTGACGTCCCGCCTTATTTGGGACGGCTGGCAACGCTAGTTAAAGGCTATATTTGTTTAAGCCGGCGGGTGGTGGCGGTAGCTTCGGAGGTGCAATGTACGCCCAACCCCCAGCGCCCTACCCAATGTACCCGCACCATAATTACGTGAGTATTAACTTATATTTACATAGCAATTGTATAGATTTAGATTATAAAAAGAATATGTTATTGCATTTTTTAAAGCACTGGTATTGTTTTCCGTTTATATTGCTAATTAAATATTATCAAATAGCAAAGATATAGCTTTTTAACCAAATATTTGAATACAGGTTTAATGGCGTGTTGCTTTGTTTATATAAAAACTGTTTCTAGTTAAAAGATAATTTTAATATAAAATACATTTAACTACTAATATCACCCTTATTGCCATGTAATAAATGACTTGTCAATTCGATTTCTATCTACCAATGTGACCGCATTTTTATTAAATAGTCTTCTATAAAGTATGACTGTTTTATTTAATTTTTAAAGCTCATGAAATGCTTTCTGTTTATTATATGCTTCTCTTTAAACAGCAAACAAGACCGATGGCCCCGAAACACGAACAGTCAAGAACAATCATACCGAACTATATGCCACCGGGACCCGCCCCTGATCTCTTGGTTCGTAAACATTTTAATATTAAGTTGTCCATCTTTATTATAACAGGGTATTTGACAAGTTTTAGAAAAGGATTTCACGTTATTTACCTACTATTATTTATGGAGTCCATAAAGACATTGTATTTATGGAGTCCATAAAGACATTCCATTGTATGGATTGACGTTTAATTGACAGTCGGGTGACGCCACACACCAGTTAGACGCCATAATATCGAGAGAAACGGTTTTATTTAATAAATAACACAACAGAATTAAAAATATCCACTTTTTATGTACTCCATAAAAAATTTAAGAATCGTCGTTTTCTAAAATTTGTCAAATATCCTGTATATAATTTATTTTATTTATTATCTTTATTTTTTACTTTGTCGGGTCTGTTGTATAGAGGTAAAAGAATAGAGTGGGGAAGGCGGCTCTAAAGGTGTCCCTCTAATAGAAAGAGAAAGAAGACGAGAGACCGCCAGCTATCTCTCTCTCTTGTGACGCATTCGCAGTCGTCTGTCCAATAGTTGGTCCAAGCATCACAGCGAAATAGTAAGATGCTTACGGTTGCCGCCAATGCGCATGCGCGATTAGAGAGAGAAAGCTAGCGGTCTGTCATCTTCTTTCTCTATCTATTAGAGGGACACTTCCACTTGTAGTAGAGTCCATATCTCCCCTACTCTATTCTTATACCTCTATGGTATTAGCGCCATTATAGTCAGAGGTTGCTGTCAGTGCAATCGCGACTCAGGAATAGGCTAGTTGACCCTTTTTGGAAAAAGGTTTTAAATGGTTAATTCTTTTTCTTTCTATTAGAGGGACACTTCCACTTGTAATAGAGTCTATATCTCCCCTACTCTATTCTAATACCTCTATGGTTGTCATTAATGTAATTCTTTTACTGTTCTCGACAGGCAACGCAAGCCGGCGGGGTGACGTATTACAATTGTGCCGAACAAGAGCAACCGCCGCCACAGCCTCGGGCACAGAGAAGACCCACCGCCGCCATACCCATAGTCAGACCTGCCGCACCAGAGAGGTTAGTACTTTAACCTACTTCAAAAAGAAGGAGGCTCTCAATTTGGTTGGTTTTTAGAGTTCCGTACCTCAAAAGGAAAAAAACGGAACCCTAACAGAATCGCTTTGTTGTTCCGTCTGTCAAGAAAATTTTTCTCAGGAACGCGTGGAGGTATCAAACTGAAATTCATATCTAATACTCATGTCTACTGCCCCTTGGAGCTGTGAAAAAATCAAACTTCTAAGCCATAGCAATCAAAAGATGCAGCCGTTTATGCCGCAAATTTTCGAAACTGAACTTAGAACTGACTGTGACTGTGAACTTAGAATCTTGAATTTTGGTACGAAGTAACGTCTTAAAGTACAGTACCTCTAGCACGAACTAATATCGAATTCGAATAGTTTGCGAGTGCGATATGTCATTGTCAAATATGTACTAATTTTTAGTTCTCGTAACGTCCGTTCGAGTACTGCAGTTCAAGTTTCCAAACCAAATTTGACATGGAAATTTCGCCCTCGCAAAACTAATCGATTTTGAAAATGGTTCGTGCTAAGGGTACAGATAAAGTTAGCGTTTACATGGTTCATGATTTTGATGAGTGTTGCTTTAATAGTGGCATCTCTTTCTCTCACGTAGGGCAGCGAATTCAACAGAGAAGGACAACATTGACAGGATTGTGGAGAACATGTTCGTGAGGAAACCTTGGCCGGCGACACATGGCGCTGGTAAGTATCGCCAAGTTGATTTAAAGAAGATTTCTTTCACAATATATACATGTATGTACATTTAACTAAAGAATATATAGGTGTCGATTCTGACGTGATTCTCTAAACCTAAACTTAAATTTGACAACAGTATATCCTTGTTATTCTCTATACAGAATGAAAAGGAGAGACTGATGTTAAATTTAGGTTTAAGTTTAGAGAATCATGCCAGAATCGACACCATAGTAACATATTTATAACTAAAAACCTTTGACTAAAATACATTATTAAAAGGAGTCCCTTTAGGCAAGGTTCCGAAGATACTGGCAGCGTTCACCTTTTGAATAGCTACACTAATTCTTTGTCCGAGGTAGCTGCCAGCTCTTCGGTCTCCCTTGGTGGTGATGTCGACTAACCCTTTTGCTATTTCCTTAAAACGCCTTACAGCGCTAGGACCCCACGGACCGAGGGTGTTGACACCGAATGCGACAATATCATATTCGGAGCCTAAACCCCTGTATTTCAATATTAATAAATAAGATTTCTATATAACGATCGCACTTCACTTTGGTATTCGTTTTTGCTATTTGTAAACTTAACGACAGTCTGTCTTTCTCTTGCTTTATAAGAAATGAAAAGGGCGGACTGATGACAAGTTTATAAATAGCTAACACGAATAACCATGTCAAGTACGGACATCAAATTTTTATATAATATCTCTGGGCTGGAGTTCCCAAATATCAGCTAGATTCCTTTGACTTTATACAAAGACTCGCGATCCCAAGCTGGCAGAGAAGTCGGAGCCTTTAGAGATGCGCCGATTTTGGAAACTAACATTAATCAAAGGATATATATATATGTAGGGTTTTTCAACAAGAACTTTGTTTTCTAAAACAAAATAAAAATAGATGAAGATGATTAAAATTTTTTTTGAAAGAAAAAAGTTTGGCAATTACTAATTAAAAATGATATCTTGCAAATGTCCACCACGAGCACGCTGACAGATGTCGATTCTTTCATCAAAGTTTTTAATCACTGTTTGGCAAAATGGCGGGACTATTTCGTTAATCACATCACGGATTTTGAGTTTTAAGGCTGCAATCGATTCAATTGGCTCCGTATACACTCTGTCCTTAACATAACCCAAAAAATATAATCTAGTGGTGTTAAATCACATGATCTGGTTTTTTGGTTTGGTTTGCAATAAATTGATCGTTTCATTGGCTGTGTGACATGTGGCGCCGTCCTGTTGAAACCACATATCAGTGATATCCACGTCATCAATAATAGCGCAAAATTCGCCATTTGGTGGTTCTGGATAACCCCAATTGTTGAGAACGTCCCGAAATTGACAAATTTGGATCTGCCTCAACACTGTGGCTCACGGCTGCGATGCTTTCAGTTGAACGACCCGGTCGAACACGCGTTGGTGTTGGCACTTTTTGTATCGAGCCTGTCGACTCAAATTTATCGACCAAATTCTTAATAGCTGTCTCAGAAGGACGATTATGTTGTCCGAAAATATCACGAATTTGACAAAATGTAACTGTAACAGAACTATTATTTTCATAGTGGATTTTAATTATGTTAATTCGATTTTCAAGCGAAATTGAATTCATTGTAACAATTGCCAATGCATCTTCTACGAATACGTCAAAAAACTAAATTTAAAAACTATCATATTGTTGGTGTAGCCACAATTGAAAAACAAAGTTCTTGTTGAACAACCCTATATAAGGAGATAGTTCGTTTAATGTGTATTTATTGGTGATACGGTGTTGGTGGGTTGTTGGTGTATTTTTAACATATTATTATTGCAAATTATGGATTTCTATACTAACATAAGCACGCAAACACTTACCGCCTTATGCCAAAGCGCGGACTAAAGTTAGTCTTGTTTTAAACCTAATGTTGTCTCTGTCTTCTTTTTAGCAAACAAAAGTGACAGCATCTGTTTTGGTCTAGATTTAACTTTGGTCTGCGTTTTTTTTATTAAGCGGTCAAAGTTGACAGTGAACTAAATTCATTTTGTAGCAAATCAATCGTTTGCAGAGCAAAACTTTTCATGGGAGCAACCAACATCTCAAGATTGGTTGGACTCCCTAATGAACTAGAACATTTACTAGTTTAGAAGAACAACGAGGAACAATTCCCTTTTCAGTTTGCACTTTTTATTTTATGTTAGTAGATATTATTTTAGTTTGTTGCGCTTTATCATGTAGTTTGTGGTTTCATCGTGTAGTTTGTCGTAATTCTTGTATAAAGAAAGGAATCGCAAAAAACGACTTTAGACAATCTATCCCTTTCGCATATGCTATCCTAAGTAACGTGCAAGAGAGACAATAATGCCCTGCGTCGGAATTTTCGATTCCTTTCTTTAATGACACGTGGTAAATCATCCATCATTACTTAGCTTATCGTTACCTCGACATAATAGTCTTAAGATCCGAACCTACATCGAGCTGATAATAGAATGAAACATATTTTATCATGAATTTAGTATATTAGAAAACATATTAAAAATGGGTTGCCTGAAAAAATCCTGGGCAGACTATTTTTATTTTTTTAATAAACGTTGCAACATCAAGATATAAAATATGTAGCCGTTGGGTTGCTATTATTTAACAGGGCGAACGTTTTATACTTAAAATCTGGACAAAATTTTCTTATTATCTTGATATTGCAACATGTATTTTTTAAATCATTTTTTAATAATTATAAATAGTCTATATTGTTTTAAACTTTCATGGTCACTAACATTATAGATATTAACGGGATTGTTACCATGTACCTTGTTTTTTATGAGTCTCCGATATTTCGGCACTGTTGCAAGCGCCATGATCACGGAGTAACTGAAGTAATTGCGGGTAGATGTTATTGGCAGACATATCGGTCTACCCTCTGACGTCGTCTTTTACTGCGTTCGATACTACCACTACCATTGGTCACATTCTCACTATTCACTCGCATTTGTTCCCGGCACACAATATGCGAGTGAATAGTGAGAATGTGACCAATGGTAGTGGTAGTATCGAACGCAGTAAAAGACGACGTCAGAGGGTAGACCGATATGTCTGCCAATAACATCTACCCGCAATTACTTCAGTTACTCCGTGATCATGGCGCTTGCAACAGTGCCGAAATATCGGAGACTCATAAAAAACAAGGTACATGGTAACAATCCCGTTAATATCTATAATATAAATAGTCTGTCCAGGATTTTTTAAGGCAACCCATTTTAATATATTTTCTTATCACGTTTAATCGGGACAACTCCACAGATTCCAAAGACAAAGTTCAAGAGAACAGAAGTTCCCAAGAGCCAGCAAGCAAAGACTCATCGCAGCCAAACAGCCTAACTTCCAGCTCAATATCTACCGACTCCAAGCCGTCAGAGACTAAAGAGGAGAGGACAGAAGAGAGAACCTTAGAGGAAAGAAGAGAAGAGAAGGAGACGCAGGAGAGCGAACCACAGACAATCCAAGAGACTGTACAGACCGATGCCTGACTGGTAAGGATAAGGCACTACGAGTGCTACCAAGCTAAATACTACACCGGAAGATAGATAACATAATTGTTGTGTATGATAAGTTGTAAAATTTAATAAACTCCAAATTAATGCGATTGAAATGTGTAAGTTTAAAATAAGTGTCCGTATATCATGCGTAATACTTTTGTCTTAAAACAATTGGAATAGAAGTTTTAATCCAATCAGATCTTCTTTGTAAATTTATATTACACTACGAGTAGAGTTTAAAGATACACATAATTATCTCTGAAATCTGGTTTTTATTTTATGAACATTTGTATTTAAAATAAATTGATTAGGCACTGTGAAATTGTGTGTTAATAACGTTTTAAGTCTCCAGTTAATCATAAAACGTTTTGTAGTCATAATCTCCTGTTTCAGTCAGAATATTTATTTTTCTCCTTCTGACGAAGTCGGGTAATAATAATTTCAACTGAATGTTATTTTAACTGGACGTTAGTATTTCATGCTTCTAAATGACGTTTTGATGTGACGTCAGCTATCTAATATTTGAACAGTTTCGACGGAAAAGTTATATCACATAGCTTAAACAATTTGATTTTACCGTGTTTAGTATGAGCTAGTATGCGCGTAAATAAAAAAAATCTTCCAAAATGCGTTATAAAAGTTTACCTGCTGAGATTTGAAGATACGAATAGACAGGTACAGAAAGATAGTTGTCCTGACGTCATTATAGTGATCAACAACAGACTAGCACATCACATTATTTAGCACCACGAGTAATAATTTTTTATTTATTATTATTTTAAAATTGTAACGAAAATTTAGTATCATATATTT